TGAAGGCTGCTTCGTGACTTGCTTTTCAGCTTCATGACCGCATTATTGCGGGTGATTTATCATCCTGGCTAGTCAAAAATCTAAAACTAGGACCCTGATACACCTGGCTGGCCGACACCGGCTTGAATTCTCTCCATCTCATAGCCTCCTACCCCCCTCGATGCCAGGGTTTGAAGAGCAAATCAAATGCTTTTCCCACTGCCAAAGTGGAATTCATGTGGCCCGTGTGTTTCCCATCTTGGCAGGCGTTTTCTAGCCTGCCTCTATCCGTGTAAATAGAGAAGCACCCGCAACTAGCGCTCACGATCTTCCATATTAGCCAAACTCGAGACCACCACTAGACTTATCATATCACTTTTCCCTATCCAGAGCTCAACATTTGAGATCACTAATAATGCACTTGTGACATAACTCTCATTCCTAACGGGTCTTTCCCCCGATCTTCTTCTCCTTGCCGCCAAAGCAGTCGTTGAACCACGGCCTCGAGTTTCTCCAGCATCTTTGATTTGCTACTAGCTTTCTACACAAAAGAGAGATAAGCCAGTGAATCCAATCGCAGAGCTCATGTGGATACCACCTGGGAAGAGCTGTTCTGTAATGCGATCTCACATAGCTGACATATGTTGCTAGGAGGAACAGCCTGCCACCCAGACTGCACACTAGTGATTTTCTCAGCAACAGTATTGGTCGAAGCCATGAATTAGCCAGTTGCCTTGTAGCAAACCGAAGAGAAAAGACCATTTCAGAGACAGAGAGAGGGGGAGGAAATAACGTATAACGTGAATAACGCCACAAAATGGCTGGGGGTTACTTCGACCTCCCAGTCACCCGCCGCTCAGGCGCCTCTGATACAACAGAAGCAACATACAAAGCATCATCTGGGTCACATACATCATCATTGCCTCGACCAAATGAGGGACAGCAGAGCTCAAAGGCGTATCAAGAGCGGGGATCGAGTGATGTTGGGGCACAGGGCAGGCAATGGAATGTAAGCATTCTGAAAAACACCAATCGCGCCCAACCCACATTTGACAAGATCAAGCTCCAGCAACCCACCGGGTCCCCGGGCGAGTCCCGAATGGACCACAGGGGCTTTATGTTGCTTCAAAGGCCCCTCCCCACCGCCAACATTCCACACATCCAGGGAAAAGGCTCCCTCAGCCCCCAGCGGGAGTTTTCAGTGGAGGATAGGAGCTCTACCGCGTCAGCAGATGTCACTGGCCTGACGATCAACTGCAAGACCAGTTTTTCGCTAACCGAAGGGGACAATGAGACCAATTTTAGTACGAATGACAAGGGGCAGACGACAGCTTTTCTCCTGGAAAGGACTCAGCGACCTGTATCCCTTCCGAATTGTCCACAAAATTCTCCGAAGCCAAGTCCTAGGTCAAGCCTAGTGTCATCGGTCCCATCGACTCCGACTGAGGTGGTGTTTGTCGAAGATGGAGATGAAATTCCTATGATCAGCTTCTCCGAGAAACAACAACTCTTCGACGACTTAACCGAGAATGACAGGGCCATCTTAGTAGATGGACAATCTATACCGCGCACTTTCAACGTCCACACTCTCGTGCGACAAATGTCACGTCCAGACTTTTCCTTTTTGACTCGCCTCCGTGCTCCCTCGCCTAACGCGCTCTCTGGTCAAGACACTCAATCTGAAGATCGTTCCTCTGAGGATCGTGATTCCGAGACCTCCATTGAGCGGCCGGCGAAATACCGCCGAGGCATCCTCTCTTCCCTGCTTAAATTATACGACCACCAGAATACCGGTAACCACAACTTCGACCACCACGGACGGGGTCGGTATGGACACTCCCGCCAAGGGAGTACCTCCGAATGGAGTGGCCGGGGCATGTCCCCGGATCCTCTATGGAAACCCCACCGGCCCCAAAAATGGTACGAGAAGCCCGGCAATGAGTCAAGCCCTTCGATCAACAGCTCGCACTCCAAAAATACATCCCCCTTAAGCTTGCTGAAGCGTTCGCGAAGCAGCGGGGCTGTATCTGGGAGTTCGGCGAGCGGGACGGCTCGACGTTGGATGAAACCTGCCCTGGAAGACGAGATCCGTATCACTGTTCATATAGCCGAGCTTCTATCTCGCCAGAAGTACTTAATCCGGCTGTGTCGGGCCCTGATGAAATATGGCGCCCCGACACATCGTCTGGAGGAATACATGCGAATGACTGCTCGCGTTCTGGAGATTGATGGCCAGTTTTTGTATATCCCAGGATGTATGATCATCTCCTTTGACGACGCCACAACCCACACGACAGAAGTCAAGGTGGTTCGGTCCAGTCAGGGCATTGATTTGGGGAAATTGGCTGATGTGCATGAGACCTACAAGGAGGTGATCCATGACGTGATTGGAGTTGAAGAGGCCATTGGGCGCCTGGAGGAAACCATGAAGCGGCCGAGCAAGTTTCACATCCTCTTCCTGATCTTTGCTCATGGTTGTGCGAGTGCATCCGTTGGCCCATTTGCATTCAACGCCCGGCCCATCGATATACCTATCGCATTTTTGCTTGGCTGTCTCCTCGGCGTTCTCCAACTCATTCTCTCACCAAAATCGAGTTTGTACTCGAATGTGTTTGAGATATCGGCCGCGGTGCTGACTTCTTTCCTGGCACGGGCTTTTGGGAGTATAAGATTCCAAGGAGAACCGCTTTTTTGCTTCTCTGCCTTGGCGCAGTCGGCTATTGCCTTGATTCTACCGGGATATACCGTGCTCTGCGCAAGTCTGGAACTTCAATCACGAAGTATTGTTGCAGGCTCCGTCCGCATGGTGTATGCCATCATATACTCTCTTTTCCTTGGGTTTGGAATCACCATCGGCACTGCCGTCTATGGACTTCTAGACCCTCAAGCCACAACAGCTTATACCTGTCCCGCCAGTCCAATTACCAACGAATACCTCCAACGTTTCCCATTCGTCCTGGTATTTACCGTCTGCCTCGCTCTCGTCAATCACGCAAAGTGGAAACAGATCCCAATGATGCTGGTCATCTCGTTGGCAGGCTATGTGGTCAGCTATTTCAGCTCCAAGCGTTTCTCCTCAAACACCCAGGTATCGAATGCCTTGGGTGCATTTGTTATAGGAGTGATCGGAAACCTTCATAGCAGATTACGCCATGGACTCGCCGCGGCATCTATGTTGCCTGCAATATTCGTTCTAGTGCCCTCTGGCCTCGCTGCGAGCGGATCTCTCATTTCAGGTATCACTTCTGCGGAGGAAATGACTCGGTCCCCTTACGCAGTCGTTGCCAATGGCACTCAGGGTTTCGTCGATGCTGCGAAGAACCTTTCGGCTTCTGATCAGAGGACCCAAAGCTACGGTGTTGTTTTCGACATTGGCTACGGTATGGTTCAAGTGGCCATCGGCACTACTGTAGGCCTCTTCTTAGCTGCGCTTGTGGTTTACCCATTGGGTAAAAAGCGCAGTGGTCTCTTCAGCTTTTAAGCTGAAGCACGTCTAATTCTGGACACATACACTGCCTCATCTTTCTATTTCTGCCTTGCTTTTCAAATTCAGTTCTTTTAGCGTCTTTTGGCTTATTGAACCCCTTGGACATTTCGCATCCCGGAAATTTATTGAACTTTCACACAACTGTGTTAGCCAAAGAATCTCCGGTCGCTGCTCTATTCCTCCAGCAACCGAGGCGGGGGCTTGTTTGCTGTTTTTTCCCTCTCTTTTTTTATATCTTTCATCTCTTTCGTTGTTATCACGCAACAAATTTCAGGTTCCGTGGTGCAGTTTTCACGTCGTGAAGCATGGAGCATGAGGAGTTAACTAGTGTGGAGAGCGGCTTGTTGTCATACCCTTTATTTTCCTACCGTCTCTCGCTTTTCTTTAAAACAAACCTCGCTCTTCGTCCCTCATCGACAAAGTCTATATCGACTCACCAAACTCGGACTTTTATCCGGACATACATAGAAGATACGATCTCTACGAGTCACGACCAAAATCATCGAGGCCCCCCTTTTAAGTTTTTCGCGCTCACTCTCTCTTGATATCTACATTGGTCACTTGATTTATTTGTCTTTTCCTCTTTCTCTGAGGGTTCACGCTCTTTCCATCTCATTTACCTCCAGCAAGAATACGAGTGCTGGCGTGTTTGGGGTCTGTTATTGCTTATTGCTTATTGCTAGTGTCCTCTCTCCTCGTTATTTTTGCATTGGGGCAACAATTTATGATATTAGTGCTTTTGATGGTTTTTGCTTTTTGTGTTCGCGCTACCTGTTCACTCTGCTGTATACATCAACCTTATTTGGGAGTGAGATATTGCTCATACCAGCTTACTATACGTTTTATTGTGCGCTCATCCATAATGCGACTACGACTCACTACTAACGCCTTCCCCTTATGGAGGTGAAATAATTGATTCTATACCCGATATGTACCAAGTAATCCAAAACAGCCCACTGGCAAATTACAAATTCTCCGAGTCCTCGTCACGCAAATCACCAACCAACTCCAACCTCCCCCTAATCCACGCTATGAAAGGCGCAAAAAAAGGCGACCCCTTAAGATCCTCCCTCTCACAAAACTCCAACAAAGCCCGATACCGCACTTCCGCAGACGTAGAGCCCACAAAAACGACCTTGGCCAAATCAACAGGACACAAATAAGGGGGTTGTCTCGCATCTTCACAAACAGACGCACTCCCCTGCATCGAACAAGCGTAATACACACAATGCGCTAATCCAAAACAATGGCCCAGTTCATGGCTCGCAGTGCGACACATTCTCCCCAGCCAAAGCGCCGACTCCTCTGACGAAGAAAGAGGCGAAAGGGGCTCGAGAGATCGATATAATGATATCGCTTGTTTCATTGGTCCGAGGGGAGGGCCTAGCGGTGATGACAGGGTCGTCGCACCGCGTGTTCTGGGTGTTGGACGGGATCTTTTGGTTTCGTGTGCTACCTGTAGGTAGGAATTCATGTGTGCTTCGCAGTGTGAGGCTGGCCATGAATGTTGGCGGTCGATGTTTTGGATATTGTCTCAGGTGGGGTTATACCGGGCACTTGATATGATTGCGACGCGTCGTCTGCCGTATGCCCGTCCGCAGATGAATGTGTCGTCTTCATTTTCGTAGAGATCCATGTTTGTCAGGAGGACTAGGGCGAATGCGTCTTCGGGGAGAAGGTCCTCGGCTGCGGAGAGGAGATCTGCAATATCTAGCTGGGCTTTGTAGATATTGTCTGGTGCAGGGCGGGTTCGGATGCGGTGGCGCTCTTCGCCGATTTGAAGGCCGATATATTCTAGAAATTTGATCTTGGGTTTCGATAGATTTGGTTCCCAGGGTACGAAACGTAGGGTTGACGATGGTAGTATCTTGACTTCTAAGCCGTGATAGAATGCTGCGAGGTAATCTCGAATATCATCTGGTTGGGGGTGCTTCAAGTTTGTATCATTCCCTCCCCTGTGAGATTGTAGCGGCGTGGTCCAATCATGCAAGAACTTGACTTCAGAATCAATCTCTGGATTTTGCATGACATAGATTGTCTTTCTGCTGGCGGTGATTGAGTTACGGTATTTCGAATATTTCCAGTCCTGGAAACTCTGAGTGTATGCATCGGGGTCTGAGGCGAGATCGTCACCCGGTAACATCAACGGAGCAGGAAATGTCTCCGGGTCATCTTTCAAGAAATCCTCGTCCTGCTTTTGTTCACTTGGATTTGATGCCCTAATGGCTATGGCACGTTCTCGCTGAGTTCGGGGTCGAAATGGTGCCTTAGACGCACTGGGGGACACGGAAAAGCAGACTGATGCGTGGTCGCAACTTGGCAATGAAACAGTCATCCTGGCAGGGTAGATGTTATGAGTATTTTTCCTCTTTGTTTTTCTAGGAGGTTGGATGAGAGTGAGAAGGGGGCCATTTGAGCCGCGTCGTTTGCGGGCAAACGAGTTTAGGGTTAGCGTGAGACATGCAGGGCACGTTCAAGTCGTGCTCCTCGATTTAAATTGTACATCAACTAGTACAGTATCTGCAGCCTATGGGGATTGGCTTGATTATCCACTATAGTCAGGGGAGACAGACGAATGCGCGTAATTACTATAAGCCAAATGAAATTTGTGTTCAATCAATGGTCGATCGACCATGCTCAATTCAAAGCTAACTACTATGCAAAGCCGCAAAAGCAGGCTCCCTCGAAGGTGGAAAAAAGGTCCCATATTGAATCCCATCGCGCGGTATATTAGACATCACCCAACAACACCCGGAACTCCAGCGCTTGCAGAAATGATTGCAATGCACAACATCACAGTTCAATCAAGTCTAGTCCTTGCTCGAACGCGAACGCGAACTCAAACCCGACGCCCATTGTGCCGTGCCGTTGCTCGCACAGCCGAGTGGCTCATCATCATATCAGTCCATGTATGGCCAGGATAGCAATGAACCGAGAAAAGCAAAGACAGCAACAGAAAAAAATCAGAAAAAAGAAACAAGTCGCTGAATAAGATCGAATCAGGAGAGAAAAAGAAAAGAATTCCCGCTTGCATCAAAACACCCGTAGAAACATGCCAGTGTCTCTCTCGCATTCAAATCAACAAGTAATAATAAGCCGGATTGCGATACTATCGTCTTTCAACCCGGCTAAGAGCTCCAAGTATAAGCCCCAGATCTAGCCTCGGCCGTGGCTGTGACGGGGCCACGCGTGAAGAAGAAGCTTGGGTCTCGTTGTCCTCGCCTTCGATCGCGAGATGCTGCAGCATATTTTGCGCATCGCGTTCTTCGAGACGTTGGGCGCAGATTCGTAGGACTTGTGATGAGAAGGTATCGGCTGTAGATCGGTATAGTTCGATGTCGTGGAGTCCTGCCGCAAAAGCGTCGAGTGTCGGGGCGAGTCCTGTCGTGATTCGAGAGAGGCGGGCTGAAACATCTGAGGGGGAGATGGAAGAGGGTCGGGGTCGGGATTTTGAGGAGGTGGATGATTCTTCTTCTGTGGTTGATTCGGGGGGGGTTGAGGGATTTGTAGAGGGCTTTTTGGGAGGGGTCGAGGAGGGAGGTATCGATTTCTTCGCGGGGGTTCTTCTGTGGTCGGTTTTTGGATCTGGGGGATTTCTTTGGTGGTGGATTTGATTCGGTGTCGATGCGAGGGATTGGCGGTTGTTTGAGAAGAGCATTCAGAGCGTGTCTCTCTTTTTGTAGCCTGTTTGATGGAATTAGCCAGTGGCCTCAATTGCAGTTTCATCAATTTACTCACTTCAGTATTTGTTCCTCCAACTCCTTAATCTTGTCTGTGTTCTGCACGTTCCTTGGATTGGGCTTCTTAACCACAACCGAGGCTGGATGCAATTCTTCCCGACTGAACCAATCTGAAAGATTTGAGTTCGAGGAGAACTCTTTCTGTAAATCTTCTTGTATAACACGAGCTGAAGAAAACGTTAGCCTATCAAATTCCTTAGTCTTCGTAGCAGAAGAACTTACCAGCAAGATGTGCACTCTGATCCTCTTGATGAAAGCTTGACGGCTTGTCACCCAATGCACGTGTCGCACACCATATCAAAAGCTGCCGCATCCTGCGCGGCTCAGAAAGACCTTCATCCGCAATGTGTTTATAAAATTCGGCCGTGCGAACCTCTCGATGCGGTAAAGCTGGCGCAAAAGAAAGAGAGTCAGTATTCCTTCTCCTCAACTGGCACTGGACACCGAATATCACCTACCATTAGAGGCACCCGAGTCGATCAAAGAACTAGCCCTCCGTCCACGCATTTCCGAACTAATCCGTCGCCGTCCTTTGCCCGATTTCTTCCCCCTCAGCTCCTTATTGCGCTGTATGACTGGTGTATCCGCTACCGGCAAGGCAACCTTAGTAGGCTCTGGCGATCTGAATCCATTCGCGTCCGCAGTTTTAGATTTAGCCGGTCGGCCGGGTTTCCTCTTCTTCTGTTCTGGCTGTTCTTCCTGGTAGTCGCGGGGTCGAGCTGAGCGCGTCGCGTGCTCTTGATGATGATCCGGTTCAGAAGACATCGCACCTTTCGCTGGCCGCCTTGTCGGAAGGTCGATTGATTTCCCCTTCGCCGTTGTCGCTGTAGTCTCCCCCACGCGCTTCTTCGGCGGTCGTCCCCCTCCGTGGCGTTGATTGTACTGGGGTATTTTCCACGTCGGATGCGGGGTGCTCTGGTACTAATTCCATTGTGGAGGTTGGTTTCGACTTCTTTGACGGTACCCTCGCAAATTGAAATCCTTCATCGTCTTCGTAGCCTGTCGCAATTGAAGGAGAGTTAGTCAGTGATTCGCCCTCTCGTCGCTCGATCAAAATTGAAATCAAAAAAACGTCGCTCAAACAAGGCAAACTCACTCGCTTTCCGCTTGCTATCATTGTTCGTAATTTCCTCCAGGCCCTGTTGATTCGCGCTGTTGCGCGTGCTTCGCCGGGGCCCGCGAGCTTTGCCTGGCGCGGATGCACGCGATTGCGCTTGAGAGGCGGCCATTCCAATCGTGCCCAGCGGTTCGCGGCGCTCTGTTCTTGTTGACGGGGGTGCTAGAACCGCGGTGGTCATGCCAGGAGATGGTCACGCGAATTGCTAATAAGGGTGAAATGAGATGAGATGAGTGGCGCGGGGATCCGGATCCAGTTGGTGAGTGTAGCACCGCGTGTCGGGATGCGCGTTTCTTCGCTTGGGTTGTTATTACACGGTTCTGTCTCCCGCAGAGAGTGGCGCGCTCGTTGTGCCTCTTTTTCGCGTTGATGTTGATCGCCGTTACGTCGTTGCTAGGCCAAGCCAGGCCAGGTTTCGAGGGTTCAGGTTGTTGGGTCGGATTGGATCGGATGAAAGTGGGTAGTGAGAGTGCACAGGTGATTGAGTGCAGTCACATTCGCAGAGGTCCAGGTAAATCACGCCCGCAAAGTCTCTTGGTGGCTGCGGGCGGCAAGGGAAGCGCAGATGGTGGGTTGGAGGGATTCGGGCACGCGGTTGTTTTGGTCGGGGCGCGTGGGCCGCTAGTCTCTTTTGGGCAGCCCCTCTCCAGGTATTTACAAAGTACTACATGACTATATGAGTAGCATACTAGTATCACTATATTACTTTCTATTTTTACATGATTGACAACTCAGTAGCTTATAATATTTGATTTCCATATTCATTTTAAGCCCCGGAAGGGACAATGCGCATATGATGTTAGAATAAACGCTTATGTGCAGAACCCTCAAACAAACGCCAATATTGCACATGGGACAGGGACAGGAACAACAGAAATAAAGGAATCAAAGATCTTAATATGTTCAATGAAGAAGGCTGGAGGAAGTCGGTTGAGCCTAGCCCCTTGATGCAAAGAGAGAGGGAGATGGAGGAGGATATGGAGGGAGAAGGTAAGAGAAGGCAGGAGGTAAAGGAGGGGAAGAAGAGGGACAGAGAAGAAAGAACGAAAGGCAGATCATTGATCATTGGATCGCAGCATCTACCGGGGCAGGCTCACCGGGGCCAGACACACTACCCTCAATGCGCCGCTTGGCTTCTTCCATATCTTCCTGAGTGATGTTCTCTGCGTCCTTGGGCATATCTGGTTCGAATTGAGGAATATCAGGGCTGTGCCCAACTGACATGCCGACTCGAATCTACATTGATGCGGGTCAGTTATTTGCGTAAGACATGGGGAGTGTGGGAAATGCATCTTACCAGTGTCTCCAAAGGACCCTTGGAATTATCCGCCAAATCCTTGTCGAAATTGATCACTCCCTCTTCAAACAAAACGAGAAGAGTAGAGCCACCAAACTTGAAATAACCAAGCTCCTCCGCTCGAGAAACCTTCTCGCCAGCCTTGCGCGTAATAACCGTGCTACCGACCATCATGGCTCCAACACAGATAACCATCACACGGCCATGGGCAACAGAATCAATAGGGACAAGTACACGAACATTTTCGCCGTAAACATCAAGTGCGGAGCGGACGGCCATTGGGTTGACCGTGTAATACTCACCCTCGATAGTTTTCGGCTCACCCATCACTCCGTCAACAGGGATGTGGAAGCGGTGATAATCCTGCGGTGCAAGGCGGAACACACCCACCGCACCGTTGTGGTATCGGGCCGCATCTTCGGGGTAGGCATTTCCAAGTAATCTTTCGACGGAGAACTCTCGGCCCTTGACCCAAATGCTAGTCGCCTCGTCGATACGATCAAAGACCACAGAGCGACAGTCGGCAGGGGATACAACAATCCTGGGTTCATCGGGGGCGGAGCAGGGACGAGCCTCGGGTTTCAATGCGCGGTAAAAGAATTCGTTGAAGTTACGGAACTTTTCAAGAGGCTGCAAAACCTCGGACATGTCCAATTGATGGAAATTAATAAAGTCCTTGATCTGGGCGGCCGAGGCGGGATCGTCGTACTTTCGCCCCTGCTTGACGCTAAGGGAACGTAGAACGCGACGGACTAAGGGTAAGGGGTGCCATGGTTAGATTCTCGCACGGTATTGACTGCGTTGGGTGGTTGTTATAACTTACTTCTCTTCTTCTCCATGTCCCTGCTCTTGAGACCCTTGTAAAGCAGTCGGATTCCCAGTCGGACATAAACACTCATACGTTCCTCGTTAATCTGGCCGGTAATACGATCTTGGACCAAAATGTTGGCAGAGTTGGCACCAAGGCGATAACCACCGTAAGAGATCTTCGTAATAACCTTAGAGTACCATTTGCGCTGTGCCTGACTGGAAGTCACGAATCCACCCATAACGAGATTGTCGACCTGGCGCCAGTCACGACTAGCACATGTTGCAATATGGGTAATAATATCGGCGTCGGATCGTTTCGAAAGGCGAGGTTGGTGGCAAAGCGGGCATTCGCGAATCTCCACGACGTGCTCCTCGCCTCTCTCATCAGCTAGATCGTCTGGGTGAAGGTCTTCCTCGTTCGAACTGGGCTGCTCATCACTATTCGAAGTTGGGACGGCTATTGCAAGGGGGGTTAGCGGTTGACGAAATGGCGGCGTTTGGTTCCGAAGCGAAGTCATCGCTGCTTGATTGCTCCTCACTTTCTTGGCTTCCGACTGATGACGGTCCCATGCGGGGTCTCTGGGGCGGCAGAGAGGAGACAGAGTTCTTTCTCTGTAGTGCGCGCAGGGTGTCTTCGAGGCAGATCACTGCTTGGTCGAAGGAAAGATCAGCGGTCTCGCTGGTTTCGTTCTCGGCGCTGAAGCGGGTGAAAAAGCTATCGATTGTTGATTCTTTCAAAGTTGAACCCAAAGTATCAAGCATGGTAGTCATTTCGACCTTATCAATACGACCGCTGTCATCGGCGTCGTATTGTTTGAGCATCAGCAGCCAGAACTGCTGGCGCAAAGCACTATAGGGTAGGTACTTTGCTTTGACATGCAATTCGGGCGAGTGCTTGTCTTCCCACCGTTCTCGATTTTTAAGTGTCAGGGGGATCGTGTACGCCCTCAGCCCCTCCTCGTCCGGCAGGGGAAGCGGGTCTATTATCGTCTCGCTCGAAGTGATTGGAATCTGCAGGGTACTGCTGCTGCTGTCGATGCCAGAAGACTCGTCTGGGGCAGAGGTAGGTGCTCTGTTGGCCAAGTCACCAACGGACTGTGTGATGGACGCCGAGGAGCTGCGGGTCTTGAACGGAGGTCTGCTCATCTTGGAAAGGTTTGATGAAGATGGCGAAGGGCTGACGGCAAAGCGAGGACTATACTTTGCCGCCGGGCTAGGCTCATCCAACTCTACAAAATGATATAGACCTGTCTCGGGGTCGGTTTCAGGGCCAGACTGGACGAGGGATTGTAATGGGAAGCTTGCCGAGGCAACAAAGTCATTGCCTGAAAACTTATCCCGGTCCATTACCGTGAAGCTGATTAGGTAGTTCTGCTCGTGCCGCATAACTTGGAAGACCATTTTTTCATGGTAAACGGGATTTAGGTTATGGCGCACGACGGGAGTTCGAAGTGTTTTCCTCCCGAGAGAAGTAACCACGAAGGGATCCATGTCAAATGAAGTTCGTGTCACTGGATGAAGCAGCAAATTAGTATTCTGCCGGAGGTCTTGTCTGTAAAGGCTGCCACGGAGTGCCAATCTTGCTTACCGTTCTTCTCGGGGGGGAAGATCAGTGACTTTAACAATCTCCATAAACACAATACCCTGAACACCGGTCCCTGAGCCTGAGAATTGATATGCGCGGGCGGCCAAGGATTTGCGGCGCAAACGAGCCAGTCGTAACCGCCTCCGACGCTTCTCGACAATCTCGGGCTTAGTCTGATCGTCGGTTTCATCAGAGGTCTCCTCATCCAGGTCCAGCTCGTCCAGCTCGGCGGTAGGTATCTGGTCCAACGGGTCATCCTCCTCCCCAATGCACGCCAAGTTTCTAAACTTGCGATAAGTATCCGTGGGCGAGGCTCCGGGGAGGGCAGGGTCCGAAAGAGAGAACTGGAGCAGGATTTCGCCCGAAACAGTGCTGTCCTTCTTCTTCTTTCGGGTGGAGCGACTGGAAAGTCGTTTCGATTTGAGATTGTACCATTTGGGCTATCATTGCAAAGGGTGTCCACTGTCAGCTATTGCACCACACGTAGAATGTCCAATTGGAGTAATTTCCCGACAACTCACCTGTTGGCTAACCTGGCCATCCTGAAAGATATCTTCCAACGCGATATCGAACTCGCCCATGTAGTCCTTGCCAAATCGATCGTGATCCCAGCAGATACATTCCAACAGAGGGACGCCCAGCACGGGCATTTCAAACGACACGTTCCATTCCGGGTTCAGGGTCTTGGATATTGTTGGGGTGGACTGTCTGGCATCTCCTAATGTCACCACCAAATACTGTGCGGGGGCAGAAAACGAAAGGTGTCAGCGAGATCGCACGCGCGGATTAGATTTGCAGAGCCCGGACAGAGCCGGACACCGCGAAAGGCAAGAAGCTCGATTGTCAAGCGTGTACTTACCGGATCACTTGTGCCACCTCGATCCTTGGGAGCTAGATTTCTACCCTAGCAGCAACAATGGCGTCAGAAAAGCGGTCGCGGTCTGGAACTGAGGGGCAATTGCCATTGCCATTGACCTCCCAGTTTGCCTCGGTGGAGGTAAGCGGCGGAACAAAAACATACCTTGATGACGGTCACCTTGAGCAATAGCGGTTTGGGTTCATTTGATCTCATGGGACTGGTACTCCTGCTCTGTCCCGGGGTCGAGCTCGCACTTCTGGCGGAGAGGTGCGAGCTGAGGCGCTGCGGGAGTGGCAGGCGGACCATGGCGGATGATGACAGCAAAGCAGAACGGGAACGAGAAAAGCAGAGAAAAGAAGAGAATGGGCAGAAGAAGAAGAAGAAGAAGAAGAAGAAGTAGACGAAGAGGGAAAAAAGGAGAGGGAGAGCACTAGAGAGTATTCCTGATTTGGATTTCAGAGTGGCTCCCCCTGGAAGTTTACCCAAGTGGTCGGTGAGAGTGGCTTGGAGTTAGTGTTGTTTTTTTTTTGTTTCCCCTTGTTCTCCAAGACCAACAGAAACCCCAGGCTTATTTTTTATTTGCCCCCCCAGGTGATCGGGGCGATCTGCTCGGGTCGATCGCGATGGAAAGGAAAAGAGCCAAGACTTGGTGCCACAAGAACCAACAGTTGTGGACTGGATACTGGGGGGAAGTGGGTAGTTTGGAAGTCTGGAGTACAAGTACCAGATATGGAGAGAAAAAAGAAAAGTAACACGGAATATGCTAATACGAATTGCAAATGGAATTCCCCAGGGTCCGAAGTGGAAAGACACGGTGGACCCCTGAAGCGTTGAGGGCAACTTAAGAAAGGTCCGAGAGCAAAAGAACGAAACGAGGGCAAATCGTGGGGCGAGACATTTATTTTATTTTAGAGGGTACTGTATTAATATTCCTTGATAACAATAGACGTCAAGGCTCCACATCCCTTCCACTAGAAACATGGAAACATGGATGCCTTGTCTGTCCGGCGGTCTGCCTTGCTTCTACTACCTAGCACTCTTGGTATACTCTTGGTATATATATGTACTACATCCAAGTTTATCCTGCATAGAATTACACAGTCCATAGTACACATCAATGTGCCCCACGATACCCCGCAATCGCCCATGCGAGGAGGCAATGAAAAAAAAACCATACAATCCATACTTGCAGTGCAGTACACACTCAAGACACGGACTAAGCCGGATGCAATAAGTCTAACTTGATTGGTGAAGCGAGCCACTGACACGCATACTGAGACCTAGACCTCGACCCAGACCTAGCCTAGCTTATACTCTCGTAGGCTTAGCTAGTCCTGCCGACGGTCCACCCGTCCCCAAACTTCGTCCACGTTGGCCTTGCCCTTGGTCTCCGGGATCCTACGCTGAATAAATACACTAAAAATTCCCGCCATCGCAGCAAACACCCAGTAAACTTTGCCTCGGCCTCCGAGTGCTTCATTCAACACCGGGAAAAACTGCGCAACCACAAAGGTGGCAATCCAGTTCGCCCCCAGTGCCCAACTCTGCGCTGCTCCAACCGCCTCAGGGCCGACCAGTTCGGATGCTAGGATGAAGGGGACGGGGCCCAACCCAACAGCAAATGACGCGACAAACAACAGAGCGGCGATTGCCGCCGCAATCTTGATATTGAAATAGATCCCCAATGCCAAGAGGATAGAACTGCAACCCATACCGGCAATACTGAGCAGCAGACAAGTTTTCCGTCCGATCCGATCGGGCAATGGTGAGCACGCGAGCGTCATGATTAGATTGATAGCGGAGATCAAAATGGTCAGCAGTGCGGCTGTACCGGGTAGGATACTTTGCAAAAGCGAGACACTGTACATGACAATGCTATTCACGCCGGTGAGTTGCTGAGCGACCATAATTCCAACCACCGCGATGATAGCTGGTCGATAGTATGGGTCTCGAACTGCCTCCATCATTGTGACTGCCGCTTTTTGTTCATCTTCACTTGCCGGGGCTGGGGCGAGTAGAGATTCCTCCTCGCCGGACGTAGGAGTAGCAGAATTACTCGCAGCGGTGGTGCTCGTAGCCCGCCAACTGGCCATCTCCGCTTCAATATCCGCATTCCGGCCACGGATACGCTGCAAGACCTTGCGTGCCTGGCCCGTCTTTTGATTCTCGGCAAGCCATTTCGGACTCTCGGGTATCATAAATAGGCCAAGGAGCTCCAGTATTCCGATAAGACCAGCCACGGCGAGAATCAGCCGCCAAAGGCTGTCGTGACTCCAAAAATAGCCTAATGTTTGAGTAAGCAGGATCCCAACATTGGTCATCACCTGTGTGAAAGCCCCAAAGAACCCCCGCGACTGGGGAGGTGCAATCTCCGATACATAGATGGGGCCGACGACGATCGCTGCGCCTGATCCGATTCCAGAAAGAAATCGCCCCAGTGCGAGGAGCGGAATGACAGGGGCGAAGGTCTCAGCCACGGGGCCCAATATGAAGAAAATGGTCGTCGCTTGGAGTGCTAGCCGACGTCCATATTTAGTGGACACGGGGCCAGCTAGTAGGGCTCCCACAAAGCCTCCAATGGTGTAGATGGAGGAAACCAGGCCGAACTGGGACGGGTTCATTGGAAGGCATTGCGGTAGGCCATGGAAGGTAGTATCGGTAGCACTGATGGATTCCTTTTCGCAGGTGACAACAGCTTGAGGGGCGTTCAGTTCGGCCTGATGGAAGGGCATTTTGTTAGTTAACAATCCCCAGTGTTGTTCCCCGCAAGTACCCTAGGGTAATACATACCAAGTGATAACCAAATTGAAGCGGACCCAAGGTAGCGATAAACACCAGGAGAACCAGATAAGGGGTGACCTGCGACTGTGTCGACTGGCCGGACATGTTTAGGAGTGTAAGGGGTTCATAGAGTGATGAGTGTAAGCTGTAAGCTGTAGGCAGTCAAGAAGGGGAGATGGTTCCACGAAGGAATGACGTGCATCGGCGAGGGCGGCCTCCGATAAGCGCGGGCCAAGCCAATTTGAACCTTAGCCAATCTTCCAATCTTTCCATCTTCCCATGAGAAGATCGAGAACTGCTCTCAGTCCTAGGACGGCACCTATCTCAGGGAAAGGACAATCGCATCAGCTCTCATTGAGCAGAGTTACTTACTACCTGCCTGATGGAGTAATCTTCTCCTCACACTTCCCCCCCATCCCCCCATCCCCCCATCCGAGTCCCGTCCTCACCAATCACCAATGAGTCTGACCAACCCACCTTCCTCCGGCTCGCTCTCCAGAAGGACCGCCACTGTTGGCCCGGGTCCCCTCAAACGCTCCGTCGATGGTAATTATATCACTGGCTTCTCTTTGTCTTTGACTTTCACCTGGACCCGGAAGTGATCTTGATCTTGATTTTGATTCTTGCCCAAACCCCCATCATGTTTGGAAAGGGGTTTCCGTTCCACAGTTCTGCTGGTGGCTTCCATTCGCGTGGTAATTTCTTCTTCCCTCGAAATAGCTGATGCTTTTCAATTGATGTCTTTTTCTTCTTCTTTTCTCTCTCTGTTACGGTGTGACTGTGGACCATGGGGAGGATTGGCATGCATTTCATTTCCGCTGGTGTATGGTGACCTATATACGCTTCGTTGGGCTGTCTTCGATTGAACGCTTGGGTCCCTTGATTTGTCTTCGCTGTTCTCCTCTCTCCAACTCTATGCCGTGGCGAGCTCCAAGCAACCTGGCTAACCTTTCATCCGATTAGACACTTATGATTCCCGCCCATCAGGAGCTCCCGGATATACCAGCAAAGTCCGGGTGCGAGACCGATATCATATTGTGGGTTTCATTAGCAGCGGAACCTACGGCCGTGTCTACAAAGCTCTCGGCAAAAATGGGCAAAAAGGCGAATTTGCGATCAAAAAGTAAGTCTGGATGAATACCTGTATCCACTTATTGTAAAAGTCATTCACCTAACCCTGCCTCTTCAGATTCAAGCCAGACAAGGAGGGAGAGACGATCCAATATACGGGTCTGTCGCAGTCCGCCATTCGAGAGATGGCCCTATGCACCGAACTCTCACACGCCAATGTCGTCCAACTGGAAGAAATTATTCTAGAAGACAAATGCATTTTCATGGTATTTGAATACACCGAACACGACCTACTCCAGATCATCCACCACCACACCCAGCCACAGAGACACCCCATTGGCGCCCGGATGGTCCGGTCAATTCTCTTCCAGCTACTCAACGGGCTACTATACTTACACACAAACTGGGTCCTGCACCGAGATCTCAAACCAGCCAACATCCTCGTCACATCCAGCGGCGCCATTCGCGTCGGCGATCTAGGCCTAGCCCGACTCTTCTACAAACCGCTCAACTCGCTCTTCTCCGGCGACAAAGTAGTCGTCACAATCTGGTACCGAGCACCAGAACTCCTCCTCGGAAGTCGACACTACACACCCGCAGTCGACATGTGGGCCGTAGGCTGCATATTCGCAGAACTGCTCTCCCTCCGCCCAATCTTCAAAGGCGAAGAAGCGAAAATGGACAGCAAAAAGACCGTCCCCTTCCAGCGCAACCAAATGATGAAAATCGTCGAAATCCTCGGCCTTCCTCGCAAAGAGTCCTGGCCTGGTCTCGTCTCTATGCCTGAATATACGCAGCTCCAATCAATGGTCCTCCACCGACAGCCACCACACTACCACCGCGGAGCAAATCTGGAGGGCTGGTACCAGAATTGTCTCAAGAATGGCGGATACTCGTCCAGTTCGAGTGTTGGCACGCCTGGAACTGATGGATTCAATCTGCTCTCCCGTATGCTGGAGTATGATCCCACCAAGCGAATTACCGCCGAAGAAGCCCTGCAGCATCCTTATTTCTCGAATGGCGGCCCCGTTAGTGGTGATTGCTTTGATGGTATTGAGAGCAAATACCCCCACCGTCGTGTCACTCAGGACGATAACGATATTCGCTCCGGTAGTCTTCCAGGAACCAAGCGTAGTGGCTTGCCTGATGATTCTTTGATGCGAGCCTCGAAACGACTTAGGGAGTGAAGGCTGGTTTCTTAGCATGGTGATTGCATAATGGCTAGGTGCATCGTGGAATTGTGGTTGGCCGGTTATATACGGGTGTTGTGTTTCCAAGCTTCTTTTTACGTTTATGTCCGGCATCGGCGTTGTGTCTTATGGCCTATTGATACCTTTCGGATGTATATACTACGATTGAATTCCTGCTCTCGGTCATTGAATAGGATTTCTGAAATTCTCCATACGCCGTAGGTATCCGGATACCTTACCATTCCTCCTTCGACTAGTAATCGCATCCCGATAGTAAATTCGTCCCATCCATCCCATCCCATACTAAAACAAACAAGAACCCCAGTTGAAAATCATACAAAAGGCAATATCAAACACAATCAATACCCTGACAAACAACCCGTTAGCATAAAACAAGCATCAAACATACCCCATCAAATCCTAAACTTACCATTCTGCTCACGCCGTCCGTCACCACCAGCATCATCCCCTTTCCCACCACCACCACCACCCATAGCCTCCGCCTGACCCGCCGCATCCTGAATCCCCTGCTCATCACCTCTCAATTTCTCAAAATACCCCTTAATATCCTCGGCACTAACAGCCTGCCCACTCTCAGCAAACGGCTTGAGGAAATCCTTCACCTTATCACGGAGATGGTTATAGATCATAGCACCCTCAATAGCACGCACGCGGTCGACATTACTGAGCGCAGCCTCGCCGCGCTCGAGAAGACTTCCTGTGCCGGTGCTTGCTGCAGCATTCGCTTCGCCGTCGTCTGATAGGGGCGGTTCGTATGTGTCTTCTTCTTCGCGGAGTTGAGGGAAGGGTGCGAGGTTGGGATAACATTCTGCGCAGTGGCAGAGGTGGTCGTGGAAATCTGATTGGAGGAAGAGGGAGAAGGTGGTGAGCGGTGCTGTGGGGGGAAGGGAGGTGTGCTTTGGTTTCGGGAGTTCTTCTTCGATTGTGGTGAGGGTTGATTGTTTGATGTCTGCAGTGGGTTGTTGTGCTTCCTCCTTCGCTTCTGGTTTGTTGGAGGTGTCTTCGGATCTGACAGGCTCCTCTCTGGCTTTCTTTGCAGTTGGCTCTTCTTGGATATCATCGTCATCCTCTGCCTTCCGCTTCTTCGAATTCTCAATTTTCTCTTCTTGTCCCGATGATTCGTTCTGCTCCTCAGTCTTAATATCTTTAGTCTCATCTACAGCGACCGAATTATTTCTCTAAACCGCCATTCTGAAAAACAGGTGGGAGGAAACCCGGCGTTCCGGCATATTTCTTCAGCCACGGGGCCGAATCGAGACACTTGTAGCAAATGAGTTGCCAGAAATCGTCTTCAGCAGGGAATCCAGGCGGGAGGGGTGTTTCGTCGTCTTCTTCGAGCGGTCTTTCATCGGCAGTAGCATCACCTCCTCCAATCGGCTCTGTCTTCGCAACTCCGTTGGCCTTATGCCAATCCCTCGACAATCCGATCAGACACTCCGGATGCCACCAGTCCTCACCACACCCTCCAGTCTCAACAGTCCCAAGACCTAAACACTGGAACATAGTTCCCTTCTCCTGGTGCGGATCATATTTCTCTCCACAGCCGCAGAATCGATTTCGGAAATTGTGATTGTATTTGTTATTCGACGAGGCCTCTTGGGAGTGGACACCCTTACGGCCGGTCTTCGGGTCTTCGCGCAGTGTGCAGGGGATGTAGTCGGCATACGAGTCGTACCGCAATCGCAAACGAAGCCGCGCTTATTGAAAAGTTCGACGAGGGTGTGTTCGCCGTGACAGGCGATGGAGCATGAATAACAGACCGCGGCAGGAGTATACGGGTCATCGGAGCTATCGGGAACGGGGTTGCATGTCAGACAAGCGAAGAGGCTCTGGCGTAATGGTCCGAGGTCATGGGTGCATGAGTCGAAGGACTATTTATCGATCAGTGTCAGCTCGGTGGTGATGGGTATGGATGGTATGGATAGATTTCTTGGTGATCTCACATAGGGCAGAACTTCGCGGGCATCGGCTTCGAGCTGGATTTGAGAATCAATGAATCTGGTGAGTATTAGTATTGAATTGTGATCCCGACGACGCAGCTGTTTGGGTGCGCTCACTCTCTGGCTGTCTGGGAAGTTTGCGAGCCGAAGCTCTCGCGCCGACTTTCGGCTGTCTTGAGCTGGCTGGCGGCTGAGTTTGAGGAATCCATCGTGAGTTTCGCGAAATCACAATTCAAAGATTTGATCTCGTTTCAAGTCAAAACAGTCAGAAACGGGTGGCAAGCTTGGGAGGTGGCGCTGTTCAACAGATGTTGCGGCGAAGGCCGAACGCGATGCGCGAGGTGTTTGCCTGGTTTGCAGTTCTCTCTTAAGGTATTCGGCAAATGCAGCATTGACCGCGGGGATCTTATGGACCTGGATGCAAGGAGGCAGTCCAATGCGTCTGTGCGATTTCTTGCTTTCACATGTACTCGTACCTCCTGTCTCAAGAAATCCAGGTTATCTGCATCTATCGCATTGGACAACAGGTTTAATTGCGGCATATACATTGTATGCATCCACGTGACCATCCCAATTGGGCTAAATTGAAACGCGTCGCGTGAATCGACGCGTATGAACCACTTTGCAGGCAGGAGCCACTCTGCACGCTCCTTCCTCCCCTTCCTTTCTTCCACTCCGCTAACCACAACCACCGCCTTTGGGGTCTTCGAGAAAATTACGATCCCCTTCCATTCCCATACTTCCTTCCATCTCAGTCACTCCCTAATATCCCCGATTGAGATAAACACATAATATGGAGTCAGTGTTCATCCATCCATCAAAATAAAAAATCTTCTTTGCGCCCGACTAACACCCAAACAGTCCCCTTCGTGCCAGCGACTCGGCCGCAAACCGCGGTTCGAGATCCAACAATCGCAAGCGCGAGAGAGAAGAAGATATTTCCTCTCCTGCCCCATTGCCTCCATCCAGCCGTAAGTCAACCCCCTGTCTCCTGAAATCGCGGGGTCAATGGAAAACATGGAAATTGACAAGATAAACAGCAACCGCACTGGGCTCATCCCCTCCCCCCTATGCCATTCGATGAAGACGATGATGAAGATGAAGGCGCCGAGCTCATTCCTGATATCGATGATGTGGACGAGCTGGCTGAAGACGAGGATGGCATTGATCTGTTCGGCGACAACTTCGAGCGGGATTATCGCGATGGCGAAGAAGAGCAATATGCCAATGAGGGATACATCGACGACGACGGAGACCACGATGAAATCGACGCAGCCACTCGTCGTCAACTAGATGCTCGTTTGAACAAGAGAGATCAGGAGCTTGCTAGGCGGCGCCGCATGCCCGCCGCTTTCTTGCAGGATGATGATGACCTGGAGATGGATCTGTCGCGCCAGCCCCGTCGCCGTCGCCACCACTACGATGAGGAACGAGAGGACATTGACATGGCCGATGAGGGTATGGAAGAGCTGTCTCTTGAGGAGATGGCAGATGTCAAGGCTGCCAACATTACCGACTGGGTCACCCAGCCCCATGTTCTTCGCTCTATTTACCGCGAGTTCAAGGCTTTCTTGACAGAGTTCATCGACCCTAGCGGTCAATCGGTTTACGGTAACCGGATTAAGACCCTTGGTGAGATCAACTCCGCCTCACTGGAGGTCTCCTACGCCCACCTGAGCGAGACCAAGGCCGCTCTCTCATACTTCCTTGCCAACGAACCTACCGAAGTTCTCAAGGTCTTCGACCAGGTTGCACTCGATGTGACTCTCTTCCACTACCCCCAATACCACGATATCCACAACGAGATCCACGTCCGTATCACTGACGTCCCTATCATCTACACTCTTCGCCAGCTGCGTCAATCCCATCTCAACTGTCTGGTTCGCGTCAGCGGTGTCGTCACCCGCCGTACTGGTGTGTTCCCCCAGCTGAAGTACGTGATGTTCCTCTGCTCGAAGTGTGGTGTCACTCTGGGTCCCTTCCAGCAAGAAGCCAGCGCGGAAGTCAAGATCTCCTTCTGCCAAAACTGCCAGTCTCGTGGTCCATTCACTGTCAACACCGAGAAGACCGTGTACCGTAACTACCAGAAGTTGACTCTGCAAGAGTCACCAGGCTCGGTTCCTGCTGGTCGTCTGCCACGCCAGCGTGAAGTTGTTCTCCTGGCTGATCTTATTGATATGGCTAAGCCCGGTGATGAGATTGAAATCACTGGTATTTACCGCAACAGCTATGACGCTTCTCTCAACAACAAGAACGGATTCCCCGTATTCGCCACCATAATCGAAGCTAACCATGTCGTTAAATCGCATGATCAACTCGCTGGTTTCAATATGACCGAAGAGGATGAGCGCGAGATCCGCAATCTTTCTCGCGATCCCGATATTGTGGACAAGATCATTCGCTCTATGGCTCCTAGTATCTACGGACACAGTGATGTCAAGACCGCTGTGGCTCTTTCCCTCTTTGGTGGTGTTAGCAAACAAGCGCAAGGCAAGATGAATATTCGTGGTGATATCAACGTACTGTTGCTTGGTGACCCCGGTACTGCCAAGTCGCAAGTCCTCAAGTTCGTTGAGAAGACTGCCCACCGAGCCGTCTTTGCCACAGGTCAGGGTGCCAGTGCTGTCGGTTTGACTGCCAGTGTTCGCCGAGACCCCCTGACCAGCGAGTGGACCCTGGAAGGTGGTGCCCTGGTGCTGGCTGACCGCGGTACTTGTCTGATTGACGAGTTCGACAAGATGAACGACCAGGATCGTACCTCCATCCACGAAGCCATGGAGCAGCAGACTATCTCCATCTCCAAGGCTGGTATCGTCACTACTCTTCAAGCTCGCTGCTCCGTTCTCGCCGCTGCCAATCCCAACGGTGGCCGCTACAACAGCACCAAGCCCTTCGCACAGAACGTCGACCTGACCGAGCCTATCCTGTCTCGTTTCGATATCCTGTGCGTGGTTCGCGATTTGGTCGAGCCCACCGAAGACGAGCGTCTCGCCAATTTCGTCATCGAATCCCACCACCGCGCCAACCCAGCCCGACCCCTGCGAAACGACACTGGCGACCTCGTCGATGCGGATAACAACCGCATTGACTCTGAGGGCTACCGTATCGACAGGGACGGCCGCCGTCTACCTCTCACCCAAGAAGAGACCGCCAAACGTACCGCCGAGCAGAAGCGCTCCGACGAGGAGAAGGAAGGCGAGATTCCCCAAGAGCTTCTGCGAAAGTATATCCTCTACGCTCGCGAGCGATGCCACCCGAAGTTGTACCAAATCGATCAAGACAAGGTCGCCCGTCTCTTCGCAGACATGCGCCGCGAGTCTCTGGCTACGGGTGCCTACCCCATCACAGTAAGTCGACTACATCCTAAATCTATGAGCCTCACACAGCCATATACTAACCACCTCTCTTCGCAGGTCCGTCATCTGGAAGCCATCATGCGTATCGCAGAAGCTTTTTGCAAAATGCGTCTATCCGAATACTGCTCTTCAGTAGACATTGACCGCGCGATCGCCGTCACGGTAGACTCCTTCGTCGGCAGCCAGAAAGTCAGCTGCAAGAAGGCGCTGTCCCGTGCATTTGCCAAGTATGTCCAATCCAATCCCTCACCGGACCTTATTCCATTCCATTCTTTCTTTCTACTCGGCCCATACTAACCTCTTCGCTCAGGTACACGCTTGCAAGACCCAAGCCGCAGTCCAAGCGCCGTGCGGGTATCCCCGTGGCGCGGGGTACCTCGGTTGCCCACTAATCGGTCCATTGGGTTGGTTCTGTGAATTTTCTTTTCCAAGTAAAATACCATCTTGTTTGCATGCGGTGTGTATGGCGTTTGTATGGGGCCTTGCTGGTTAGGCCATGATTTAATGAATGAATATGATTTCTTATATTTTTGGGCTAGAGTAAAACTTCTTACTGTAAGAAATGTGGTTAGGACTAATTAAAATTAGGTAGTAGGTAGTAGGTAGTAGCTTCAAGTTTATCACCGCCAAATGATCAGCCTTGGTTACTACTAGTAGGTACAAAGTACTGATCGAAGCTCGGTGAATATAGGTTTTCCTGTAGGCTGGCTTGGTAAAGATCATTCTGTGCCCAGGTGAACAACAGGTCTGATATTTTGACATGTGGAAAATCCTCCAGGCAGCCTCTTGCATGCGGCAATAGTTTTGAAGAGCAAAAGACTCGGACCAACCACAATTCAAGGCATGCTACAGCTATGAGTACTCGTCTAGATTATTATAATCTACCACATCGTAAAGAACATTATATCAGCCCGTTAAACTACAAGACCAAAATTGCAAGGCATACGTCAAATTCAACATGTAAATAAGGTGAAAGTGGCTTAGAAAATACAAGAAGCAAGGCTAACGAGAATGAAAGACAAGACTGACCGCGCACCAGGGCAATCGTATTCCATGCACTCTCAATCTCGAATAAAAAGGTCAAGAAATTAAAATCAAATCGAAGCAAATCGAAGCAAATCAAATCAAATCAACCGGCTCCACTGAGAGCAAACGCCATGTTGGGCGCCAGAACGCTGACGGCGCCCCAAATGTTGGGTATTACAGAAAAATAACAAATTCATCTTTCCCGTAAAGGGAATTTGGATATCACCAGGACCCCTGGCATTGACGCGATGCGATTTGATGCGTGGCGATGCGAGGCCAGGGGGCCTATATGCGAAGGTGCAAGGCGGATGGAATAGGATAAGATGAAGGTCTATCTTGCTTTGCCACAAAACGCAACTCAACTCATCACTCTTGTCATTCGTATCCTCCTAAATGAGGAAACTTAGTCGCTGGTACGACGCTCAACTCGCGGCTTGCGTAAGCTCTTCATCCGGTTGAGAAACCCGCCACCGCCCGCGTTGAGCTTGTTCTCGTCCAAGCCACGATCGTTGGTAGATTTGCGCTCCAAGCCAGTCGCCTGCTTGGGACTACTGGAAGAGCGAAGACGACCACCTCCACCCTCCAGGCGCGATTCCTGGATACGCGCCGCCTTCTTGTCATATTCCTCGTCGTAATCCTGGAAGTAAGGGTCCGTTTCGTTGTTGCGGGACGAAGCAGAATGGCTTGAGCCCATGGGCGCCGCTGGCGCAGGCGCAGGGAAGCTTGGCTCTGTGGGAGACATCATTCGACCAGTACCGCTCTTTCCCCGTAACCGCTGGGCGAGACTCTTCTTCCGTGCGAGACCGCCGCCCGGTGCGAGGCCTTGGTCGTTCTCGCTCTGGCGGCGGGCCATTGCTGAGCGACTTGCGGGCGCACCGTCTCAGGAATGTGCTTGTGCCGAGACCAGCGGTTTCGGATCCGTGGATGGGGTCCACGAGAGATCTGGGGTCGAAGCTGACGGTCTCTGTGCCGCTGCGTTGGGCGCCCGAGGTGGAGAAATCGTTGTAGCCTTCTTCCATTCTACCGTGGAAGAGGTTCAGGTCGATATTGGAGTTATTCGGGCCCGAGCCGCCCAGAGCCATATTTGTGGAGTTCTTTGGGAATGCTTGCATGGGCGCGACACGGGAGCCTTTTCGGTTGCGGTGGGGGTTGCAGGCATCAAAAGGACCGTCATGGTGGAACACTAGATTGAATCAGCAAAGTGCAAAATGGGAGAAATTGGACCAAAGGAGAACTCACTGCCAGTTCCGTAAATACTAGTCACATCCAGCTTATCGATGATGTCCAATCGGCGGTCCTTGCGAGACGATCGGGACTTGCCATCACGCTGACGTTCACGTTCACGATGGCGGCGTTCCCTTCGGCGGCGCTCGTCGTCATCGTCGAAGATCTTGGATGCCCGCTCCATCACCGAGGACTCGGAATTGCGGCGGGGTCTGCGGGAGCTGCTTTTAGAGGGACCCGAAGTAGCAGCCTTGGATAGGGGAGGGGGATCGGCGAAAATATCGAATGGATCCTTCGGGTCCTTTGGTCGCGGTTCTGCGGGGCGCGCTGACGGACGCTCTCTCGGAGGACGCGGGCGGCTGGACGGCCCCCGGGCATCACGGGCATCACGGGTATCACGAGAAGCGCTATCAGTGGGAGGTCGAATGCCTCGTGTGGCGGGGGTAGTGGGCTTAGAGCCTAAGGAAAGGTTTTCCTACAACTTGTTAGCAAGCCATCCATTGCAAACAGGAGCCATCACATCATCTGCGATAAAGAGAACATACGAAGAGGTCGCGGGTATTGTTAGTGGCGTCCGGCTTCTCGGTCGGTGAGAACATGCTGGGTCCGCTCGAAATGCCAGGGGCTGATTGCGGTGAGAGCGCTTCGGTGTCGTCAAGAAATGGGTTTGTCGATCTAGGACGCTCCGGGCGCGAACTGGTAGAGCCGGCAGATGGAGACAGAGCGCGGTTTCGAAAGGGATTGTTGGAACCAAAATTGGCAGCAGTCGGTGAGACCTGGTCTGTCCAGCAGCGATCGGTTCACGTTAGTTTCTCGTCAATCGGAGGGTTTCTCATCTTTCGATCAGGAGGCGATGGTGGCATTTAAATAGCAACCCGAACAAAGAAACGCCATCAGGGGAAGCACACGAATCATTGGGCGTTCATTCGTCGCAAATCAAAAAAGCATTACGCACCTGTCGGCGACAGCGACACGCCGGGCGGGTACCCGAGCGCTGGAGGGGCATTCATGATGGTGAGATGAAACGGAGGACGAGGAGTGGAGAGCGATAGTGATGCGTTTGCATCAATCAGAAGGCGGGTAGTAAATGTAGGTGGTGTCGCACGAGTCAACTGAGGGTGGGTAGATTGGTTGACGATGAAACGGAGAGTGTAGGAGGAGTTGGAATGGCAGTGTCAAAAGGACAAGAACAAGAACAAGAACAAGAACAAGCCAAGTATGTCTCGACAGATGGGAGAGAAGAAGGGGGGGAGAAAGAGAGAGACAGAGAGAGAGTGTGTGGTAAGTGAGAAAGGGAAGAGGGAGGAGGAGTGGGCACGGGATCGACTTGAGGGGGGGAAGGCGTACGTAAAGAGGCGATCGGCCAGGACCGCTTCTCTTCTTCTTCTTCTTCACAAGGGTCTCTCTTTCTTGTCTACTTCTACTTCTACTTCTACTTCTTCTCTAGGTTCAAGACACTGATACCCCGACCACATTCATCATGCAACATTACAAGCCACTGGATATGCACCACAGGCCTCGATTCTTACGCTAAACGCTGTCCTGCAGAACCTCCCCAGACTTGAATTAGGGTCAGAATCCAGGGGCAAATACCCTCGATCGACAGGGCTCCACCCGCACTGGCGTCCACGGTGGGTGGCGGGCAGATTACATTTTCCCCTTAACAGAGACCCAGAGAGACAAGAGAAAGAGCCAGCCTTGGACTGACAGGGGGTTATGCCACAGTCCTTTCCTGCTCTTTACCTACGAGTATACTGCTACAAAGTACCCCCCCCCCAGCCGTTCGGAATGACGTCCGCATTCCCAGCATCCCCCAGTTGATGTCATCTTCGGGCCTGTGGAATGTGGATTCACCGTGTTGCTGGCTCACACGCGAGGTACGGTGCTTCACCAATTGCGCGATCTCGCACGGCCCCAGAGATCCAGTGCCGCCGGGATATTTTATGGACTCCGTAGTTGACAGGACGATCTGCTCAACCGCCCGCGGTCTCGTCACCTCTTGTCTTGTTTTGTCGGGTCGGGTCTCACCTTGGCAGGATCCATGATGACGACGGACCCCAAGTATTCAACATACTATCCCAAGTACGAGCACTTGGGTTCAATACTGCTAACCTATCTGTCGGTACCCTGATGACGTACAGAGAGAGTTTCGGAGTCTGTATTTTAGGGCGGACCCCAATTGCTCATCTGCATTTCCGGTGCCTGGCCATGGTACATGTGATCGATCGAACTCGCCATGCATTGCGGTTCACTCAAGGGAAGCAGTTGGGTTCCCAATGGTTTGTCAATTCTGCGTCCTGGCCACTGCAGATGGTTCGCCGTCTGAATTGTAATTGTAATTGCAATCCCTCATGGGCTCACCGCGCCGGCTCGTTGTGGGTAATGGTGGGTGGGATCGACACAGGCAGCAAGTGACTGGCCCGAGCTCGGCAATGCACATCCGATGAGACACCTGGGCACCCGTTACTAGTACTACTAGTAACTGGTAGATTTAACTTTATTTGGGGTCCGCGGAGTAGTTCTCCGTATAGTAGTATGATATCTTGATCAGTCGTATCATTATACTACTAGTAGCAGCCTGAGTTCCCAAGTTGCTATACTAGTAGTATCCTACCTAGGTACTAACTACTAGCTACTTCTAGTTAGTAGGTATGAATGTGTATCCGGGAAGGGTGCAGAATAATACTACCAATAATAAAATATTCGTGGAAGTGCTATAAAAATATTATGCTAACGGCATTGCTTCAAGTTGAATAATACTACATTTACAGGATTCATAATTAATGGTATTTCAGACTTGGGTGCTGGCGACATAAAGCTATGGAAGCAGGATAAACAGATAGCCAATGTCTAAAGGGCAATAAAAACAAATAGAGTAATATCAAACAGCGGTTCTTTTCAAAGAAAGCAGCATCCTCCATTTTATTGGCACGTATGTTGACGGGGTCTTTCAGCGGACTAATTCCACCATCACTTCTCAGGTTTGTGGAAGGCTGAGCGTAATGAACCTCAAGGATAAATACAAACTACATACAAGAAAGTGTGATTTTAACTAACGATGTGTTCATCATTTATAATTCTTCAAGCTGATTCAAAGTTTCTAGCTTTGCTAAAACATAGTCCAATTGGTGCCCCGAGTCTCACCCAGGCTCTGAGCAATCCTGTCCCCTTCTCCCTTACCACTTGCACTGCTCATTTCTAGTACACCGGCAGTGGGACAGCGTTCAAGTCATAATGCCAGCTATTAATGGAGGCTTGGTCGTACTCACACTCCATCTTACCCTTCTTCCACTTCGGGCGAAGTGGCCATCCACAGATCTGGCGATTCTCACCCACATGCTCGCCCTGTAGGACAGTAGCATTGAGGGTCACTGGCTTAACATCTTTCTCCACCCAGTTGATGAGTACCTGCAAATTGGTCTGGGGAAAGGACCATTGGGCATGAGCGGGTTGGTGGCACAGTGAGCGGCACCGGGGACGAGGTATAACTGATACCAGTCTCGCAGGGCAGCGGCGCCCTGCGTATAAGACTTGTCGGGGTACATGATGCTGCGGACCGATTCCCAGTATCTCACACTCGAAGCAGTGGGAATAGAATTGTCCGCCTCTCCATGGAAATGGATGACTTTCCCACCGGCTTTCTGGAATGGCGTGAGATCGGGCCAGTTAGTCTGCAGTGTTGAACCATATTCTTGCATTCCACTGATCATCCAATCTTTGAGAGTGTCATAGGTCACGCCGTCAAGATTAGACAGCTTGGTGCCATTCTTGTCCACGAGCAAGGCGATGTGCTCAGCGCCAAGCTGATCAACCTCGAGCTCCCACTTTCCAGTCTCCGAGTTATATTGAGTCGTAACGTCATCAAAATCAGCGGCAGTTTGATAGGACAGATACACTTGGCGACCCTCCGAATCACGAAGGCCACGAATGACCTCCTTGGCAACTTCGACGGCTTCTTTCGAGACGGTACCTTTTTGAAGTGGTGTTGCGGCCGTGGCCATTTGCCTCTTGCGTTTCCCGTAGCCAGAACTGCCAGACGAAGCTGCACAGTAATAAGACTTGCCAACTATAGTAGAGAGATCGAAATGTAATTCGCAAAGGTCAGATCGAGAGACGACGCCGTCCACCAACCCATCAAGAGAATCACAAGCAGAAATGGTTTCGTTGACAATCTTCTCCATCTCGCAAGGAGGAGGATAATAGCCAAGTGTCTTCGTGACAATGTTAGAATAGAGATGCTGTGTCTGCTGGAAAGACCAACGGAAAGCAGGCGCTCCAATAGCTGCTCCATCCCATTCGTCTCCATATCGCTGAACCTGACTCCAACCCTCTCGGCCTCCCTCAGAACAGCCTTGATAATAGGAGTACAGTTTTGTAGAATCTTTCATGTTGAAGACATTGCGAGTAAGCTGTTTGCCGATCTTGCTGAGCTCCCAATGGGCTTTATACCCAAACATGTACAATGTTTCGTAGTCGAGAGTGCCATTGCTGAGAAGCATAGCGGCATCTGCCTGTGTATTGAAGCTTCCAAATCCACCATCAGTGGCTCCTGCAACTGCACCATACATAATACCTCCTGGGAGGGATCGATCGCCTGAATAGATTGCATAACCCCCACCCCCGGTCGACAAATATCGATTCTCGAATTTGGCAGGGTCTGGCAACCAATACTGAACGAGAACTTGATCTCCGCGGCCATTGTGAGAATATGCTAGCGTCATATTGCAGTATGAAAAGCTGGCTGCCGGGAAAAAGGCCCCATTCGTGGGATTGGACGCATTGTAAACAACGTTGGTCGTAACAGAGGATGGGTCAAGTGTAATGCCTTGGATAAAATCGGACGCGGGGAGCTTGGATTGAACGTATTCAACAGTGCAGACGTCTTTCAAAGTGGTTGCTACTACAGTAGTAATACTGCAGGCGAGTGTTGCCAGGCTCAATGCCCGAGGGCTCCAAGAATTCGGTCTCATGGCGATTGGGATACCTCGAACGTGTTCTGCTCTGTTTCACCTGTCCATCCCCGGGCATGCCAGTGAGTATTTATGCTTTTCATGAAAGCTCGTTTCGAAGCATCTCCCCAGACCCCGCTCTTTTGATAGATACGCAGTGTGCCCCCTAGACGCAAGAAATTACTCCGTAAAGGGACTTTGGCCCACGCTTGGCTAACTCTCGGGGAATCCTGGGGCAAAAGACTACCCCGGAATAATGGATATCCACACGAGCGTGGGGAAGCTACCCCAGAGTAATAAGGGCTTGTAAGGTTTTTGTGGTAGAGGGTGGGGAGTCTGGCGGGCTCGGAGTTAAGCTTCTCGTACTGTAAACTTTCCAATTCATCACCAACCCCCCTGAATAGGACGCGAAATTCGTCTTGGACGGAGGAAACTTCCAGATCCGTTATTGCGAGATTGTCCAAAGGGGCATCACCTGCACGGTCATCAAGGGAAATTTGTGGGGCCAAGGAGGGTGAAGAGGGTGGAGGGAATATTGAGGGTCGGTGATAATTGGTGCTGCTAATGACTTTTCCGTCGCACTATACTAGCTTGTTTACGCCTCAAATGCGGAGATTGCAATGCAGCTGCACAAGCAGCAAAGTTGAAGCCCGCGGGCTCGATCACTAGAATTTAAAAGTCACGGTGTAACAAGCCGATACTCTGTAGCCATATTTCTATTGAGAATATTTCTACTAGTCGATCTTCACAACCATGAGCAATGAATGACACTTGGCCAATTACTATGGTTCTGGGGGAGAATCTAACTGTTCAAATCGAATTTATCTGGAGTTATATTTGAATTCAGTTGAACTTTAGGTTTTCAAAGGGGAAGAAAAATCGCTAAATCAAACTATAAGACCGTGACACAAGTGGATTCTCTCGATTTGAATCTTTTCCTAGTTAGGACTAGGTAATATATAGCGAGGCTGCTGGGAAATATATATCAATGCTAGTCAGAAGACTCTACTCCATCGCCCTTCCTGTCTTAAAATCAAGGCAGTCTACAATCTCATTGCCAGTAATCCCAACTTCAAGCCCTGCCAGTGGAGTTTGATTTAACCTTTCTAAAGATCCCAGCTAGTACCTAGTTGAATAGTGCTCAGGACATTTTATCAAGCTAAATGGTCTTGACAACATAGATTCAATATCTCTATCACCCTGAAGTAAATAACCCTAGGACCGAATCTTGTGTAATAGCGTAGTGTGTATATAAAAACAACGTGGTTCTCTACTGAAGTTTGTCCTAGATATAAGAAGAACAAAAATCAAACAAAAAGTAAGAAAAGCCGCCGCCTCCGAAGAGAATTGATTTCTAGTCAATCACCTTAGACCACTCGGCCAAACTGCCTTTGTATATAGTAACGAGTGCCAAAGAGTTATAACCAAGAGGAAAGATCTAGGCTAGGGGGGAAATGATATCTTTGAAATTACAATATAACAGTCACCTCAGTCGGCATACTGGGATGCCTTAAGCCTAAGGCTTATAAACTCCTGCGCGGGTTACTAAGCCTTAGGTTTAAGGCATCCAAGTATGCCGCCTGAGGTGACTGTTAAATACCACGTTATTGAGAAGGCCTGATAGCCCGTTTCAATTTCAATTCCAAAATAGTCTTTCTGGGCTGTCTATCAATTTTTATAGTGCAATACAAGTATATAATACTAGTAACTAGTAGCAGGTTCTAGTATGCTACATTGTACATTGAGGAGTACAAGGGGCCCGCCTTTTCCGCCTCCCGCACCTGCGCCGGAGCTTCACTCTTTCATTCAACCTCAAGCTTCATTTCAACTGAGGTCAACTGAGGTCAACTGAAGCAACATCATGGAGCCGCAGCCCACCGACACTCCTGCTGTGCAGCCTCCTCCCACCTTGACAAACCCTCGATTTACTCTGGAACTCGAGTTTGTTTCCTCCCTCGCCAATCCCTATTACTTGTCCCACCTTGCAGTCAGCTATCCGAGCCTCCTTGGAATATCGCGCGCCGATGATGACGACGAATCCTCCTCTGCTCCCGATGCAGAAGCATTCACCGCATACCTTGCCTACCTCTACTCCTACTGGAAGACCTCGGAATACTCGCAATTCCTGACCCACCCCGGACCGACTCTGCGGGCGCTTCGTTTGCTTCAGGAGGACAAGTTCCGCCGTGAGATCATCTTGCCTCAGGTTATCGAAGGACTTGCAGGCCTGGGCGTGTCCAATGACCCCGCGACAGCTGCAGCTGCAGCTACAGCTACCGATGGCGATGCTACAGACCAAAAAGCCGAACCGCAGGAGGACCAAAATGGTACGAAGACATGATCGTGTGTGCGACATGAAGGACTTATTCAGTTCTACAACCGCCCAAACCCTCTCCAATCCGAATGCAGGATAGAAGGATCTACAGTACGATACCAGCTCCCCTCACGAGGGACAAGGGCTCCCCGCCAACTTACTCGGCATTTCATCGCACAGTCACAACCATGATGTGCGATGGAGGGGAGCGTGCTTCATGTGCGACCGAGGTATCAGGCCGATCGGCCCCCCGGGGAGGGTTTGTCGATCAAACACAGCAACAGGAACGAGACTGGTTCAAACCCAGGAAACCATGTTAAAAGCCGACTCGATGCGCCCACAGGTTCCCTGACGGTATTTGCGGGGTTGCAAAGGACCAAGCGTCTTGTTGGAAGGAAATGTGAGAGAGCATTGTATTGATGGCCGCATTCGGCGTGGTTCTCTCCGAGGCAATTCATGGTTCATTTGAGCCCCATCTTTAAGAGAAATTCAAATTACTACTACTCGTACTAATCGTACTCCGTATTTCACTCTAAAATTCCAGTCTGACCGGGTCCCTTTTTACTATGTAGAGCTTAGTGTAGATGGGTGACCTGTCATCGTCATTGTCATCGTGGCCGCTCGGAGCTCCCCCAACCTTCTTTTTTTTTCTTTTCTTCTTTTCTGACTTTGGCCTGTTCCAACAAAACCTCCTCCCCTCCCCTCCCCATCGCTGTGCGCCGGATTCCCCGGCTTTTAATTCCCAGGTGGTTCAGTTCCCACTTCATCGCCTGTTCCTAACAGTTAGTCGCCCTGGGGTTACTTCCAGCGCAGCGGAGTTGAAAGCCCCACCCTTCCCCCCTGGTCGTGGTGATCGTCAACGACCTGATCAGACAGCCCCGTTCTCGTCCACCGTCCACCGTGGTCCGAACGTCTTCCATTGATCGCTCTCCCCCTCTTTGTCGCCATATTTTGGCTCTGAACCAATCCCTCGCGCAACCATTCGAATACACTTCCCATCCTTTCACCTCCGTCCAATCCGCCCCGCGCCTCCGCGGAACTTTTGCCCCCGGGGAGGCATCCATAACCTTCCATGGCCTCCGTTCGCCAGGCCTGTCGACCAAGGCACCAGGTCCTAACGCTGAAATGCTATCCGCAATACCAAAAGGGCGTGGTGGAAGTCATTCCGAACCCGAGCGAGCTCTCATATCTGCTTTACTATCTGAGCACGCGTCGCAGCAAGCTGACCAAGGTTGGGGCCTTTCTCACAAAACGAGTATCCAAGGACGTTTGGAGACGCAGATTAGGGTGAGTGAAAAGGAATTCATGGGGATAGTTAGCGTCTCGCGTGCATGCACGATGCAAGGAACTAACGCCTAATTGCAAATAGGAATGTTCAAGTCGCGCTTCACATCCTCACCGCGCTCATTGAAAAATGTCCGCGCGACCTGCCCATCTACGCGCGCTTCGTCCTAACCGTTATCGAAACCGTTTTACGATCAAACGATATTTCCATGGTCGAAGACTCTGTCGCGACATTCGAGACCTTCTGTCAGCACCAAGATATCGCACTCATCGCAGCGGAACAGACCCTCGCCCAACAATACCGTGAAGTCGTGCGGTCATACGCCAGCTTCGCAGATCCAGCTTCTTCGACTTATTCGCCTACTAAGGTCAGCCTCCCGGTTGCAATTCGATGGAGAAATGCCGGTCTTCGCGCTATCAAGGGTGTCGTCAGCTCGGAAAGCCTTGCCGCCGATGGAGGAGCATCTTTGCAGCTCATTCTACCTGTTATCCTGGAAAATCTCTACTCAGAGAAAGAGGATGTCTTGATTCAACTGAAGCAGATGCTTCATGATTCCGAGAAGGTTGAGAATGATGGTACTCGACCGCCCCGCCGAATGAGTGTTGCAACTGTTCATACGGTGGACACAGTCGAGGGTGATCCTACATCCGCGGCACAGTCAACCGCTGACGCCGATAAAAAGGCAGAGATGGATGCTCGGCTGCTGGCGCTCCGCTGCCTCGAGAAAATAATCGTATCAGGAAGCAACCGCGGCCAGATTCGCCTGGCGGCATCGGTCACTCTACAATTCATTGCCGGCAAACGATTTCCACAGGCCACCCGGGGTGAATCCAGCACTGAAAAGAACGTCGGCAACTGGGCTACTTCTCTCATTGAACTAATTGCAAACTGGTGCCCAGTTCAGGTGCGATTTATCATTTTGGTGGCTGCAATGGACATCCTTCACGATATGAAGCCAACGGAGGATGCCTTGGATTCGTCTTTCACTATTCTTTCCGTGGTAGATTGGCTACTCAAATCATCGGTTAACATGATCGGGTTGAGTGTTATGGACGTTCTGTTTGGCCTTATCCGCTACATTTCCGCTATTCTATCAACCACCAACCAAACGAGGGGTGCAAACCAAGAAAAGACCGATGAATATCAGGGCGACGCGGGCGTGTCGATCTCTCCTCAAAGGAGGAACCTTCTCACCCTGTTAGAGCACTGTATTGGTGATCTGGCAACTCACATCTATTATGGTGATCAAGTCGCAGACATGATCCGAGCGATTCTGAAGCGCTTCAAGCCGTCTGCGAACATTGATAGTGCTGCGCAGTCTTCTCTGGCTACGGTTCACGAAACAGGTGTATCGCCGACTGCTGAGACAACTCAAACAGGGGAAGTTACTGGCGAAAAGGCCCAAGCAGAGAGTTTCTCTCACGCTACTGCCAAGGTCACTGCGCTGCGTGCCGTCAAGGCCATCCTTATGGTTTCTACCTTGAGAGCACCAAGCACGTCGAGCGCCTCTGAATCCAGGAACCAGGTGGGTATTCACGTTTGGGAAGGGACACAAGGCCTTCTGCGGGACTCCGACCCGCACGTTCGCCGCGCGTATGCCGATGCTTTCCTAACCTGGCTCTCTCTGGAAACGAACAAGCACGATCTTAAGGTACGAGTGGAGATCCCGAAGTATATCAAGCCGACATCAAAACGCGACACCGAGCAACCGGACAAGTTGAATCGCCGTAGCACCTCAGCTCCGGGTAACCAACGAGAGAAGGTGGCCCTTGCTGCACAGTCCACTTTCCTTCGTTTGTTGCATCTGGCTATCTATGATGCTGCTCTCGAGAATCCCACTGTCGAGTCTGATATCCTTGTCTTCCATCTTCTCCTGACAAGCCTTGTTGAGAATCTTGGAGTAAACGCGGCGCAATACGGACTTCCCATGGTACTAAAACTACAGGAAGACCTGTTCACCTCGGTCGACCTGGGCAGCTTTGCAGCCCGTGTCAACGTCGGCAGCCTGGTTCTTGGGTATCTCTCGGCAGTGTCGGAGAAGTTCAACCTCCAATCCACCCACGCTGGGGTCGAAATCCGCAACGAGATCGAGAAGAGACAAAGCAAGAGTCAATATTTCTCTAAGATTAAATTGCCCCCGACTACTCTAGATGGTATCGTCGTGGATGAGAAAATGCCTACCAACGAGGATTCAGCGCCATCAGTCACGCTGACGCCTTTCCGAAACGTCGATGACCTTGTTAATGGGATTGACGAGGCATACCGTCAATCGATTTCCTCCCCGCCACAGAGTCCCCCGACTTCCCCTCCCGCACGGGGTTTCAGCTTCCCGGTTCTCAACCACGCCTCAGTGGCAGCGCAAACTAAACCAGACAGCGGTCTCCCGTCGCCCGTCAAGGAGCAAATGCTCTCGTCTTGGTCCCGTGAATCCTGTCTCGCTGCTGTGGAGAAGGAGAGCATCAAGACTCTATCTATCAGTGGCTCGCGCGGGGGTACCATGGCTCGCGCAAGTCAGGGCAATGGCGTCGCAAACGGTTCTCCTGCTGGCTCAGCTTCGAATAAACACCGCCGCACCAGTGTTCCCGAAATATCGCGTACTTCAGAGCCTAGCTCCACCAGAGGATCCCCCGTCCGTGTCACTGAACTGCGCCGAGTTTTATCGGTGAACCACGACTCTCAGCCCCGAAAACTCAGCCCGCTGCGAGGTCAGCTCGATGCCTCGAATGAGAGTGTCGTTTCCTCTGGTAGCGAGAGCATGGTTAGCGGGTCATTCTCCGTCTCCGAGGTAGATGGGGAAGGATTCCAACAAGATGGAGACCAAACTCCCGAAGAAGACGGCGTAGAAACGCCACGAGCATCAGCGTCAGAAATTGCTCTCTCGGGAGAGAAGCCTATCAGAGATAACAATGAGCAGACTCTGAGCCGGGTGAACTCCGATGAAGATATCCCGCCTGTTCCCCCCATTCCTCCAACCCTGCATATCCCCGGTGGCTTTCCGAATGATTCGCAACGGTCATTGATCTCAATTGATCGCCCATCCACCGCCCCCGATGTCTCGCGGCAGTCCTCGGTCCAGAGCAAGTCAGGACCGAACTCGCGAAATGCACACCTAAATCGCAACAAAAGTCGATCCAATAACAACCTAGCTGCCGGCATCTCAGAGGTGTTCCGCGATGCCGAGACCAATGGCACTGATTCCCTGGACCACGCGCAGACAGACCACTTGAGACGTATCTTAGACGGATATCTCTCACCAGATGGCAGCATGCTGACAAACGGAGATCGTCCAGCAACCGCGGTCCCAGCCTCCAAGTCCCTGGTGGGCGGTGGCTACAACACCAGGCGGCATGTCAGTGGCGGTGGCATCGGACGACCCCCATACTAAAATAGTTTTTTATTTTCTCTTCTCTTCCCTCTTTTGCAAGTCCCCTCCCTTGTACAGTCGGACCCCGGCGACGATTCAATTCGCCGAATACCTTGCACCATCCCCATTTCGTTTCTCATTGCCTTGTTTTGTACATGTTTATAATTTCCCATTCCAGCCCTTGCAATGCGAGGAATTTCCCACTTGGACTCGTCTCTTGATCGAGCAGTCTAATGTCTTGACCACTGCCTCATTTCTTTTTTCATTTCTTTTGCGTTTTACCTATTCATCCCGCTCCGCTACCTGGTCTCCTATCTACGTCTTATTTTCTTTTCTCTCTCTATTCGTGCATATGATTTATTCTTGATAACCCGTGTCCTTTTTTTTACTGCTGGTTTCTGCTCAGTGCGGGTTCTGTATCTAGCTACATTGTCGGTAGACTTAAATAGACGATGCTGGAGTCTTTACGACTTGGAAAAGGAGCCGTTTGCCAGTAGTAGTAGTAGTAGTAGTAGTAGTAGTAGTAGTAGTAGTAGTACTAGCAGTACAGTGGAATACAATAGCGCAGAATAAATATACTCATAAATACATATTCTCTCCAATATAGTATTCGAGAAGATGTAGCGTTATGATTATATTTTTAGAAATACTGTATTTGTAGAGAATATTGTAGGCATGGCTATATTCTCACTATATTGTAAACTTCCCGGCGGGCGGGATGGCAATAGCTCAAAATCTCTATATATTTATACTATGATAACTAGACCTTACCAAAGCCCACGGGCTTGCAGGCCCGGGCCTAAGGCCTACCAAGAGACCTGACCTAAGCCCGGCCCGGCCCACGGGCTTTAGGTCTAAACCTAGACCTATAGGCCACTTAGGAAAGTCTTTAGACCACTAAGAAAGCTCAGTCTATAGACTTAGGTCTAAAACCTAGACCCACAGACTTAATAACCCAGTCTATAGGTCTATAAACAAGATAAATACTTAATAATTACTGTACGTGATTATGATTGCGAACTAGTATCGTTTCGTGTCCTTAGTTGTAATGGCCAAGTTGAATAGATCTTCGAGAACCACTTGAAAATGAAACAGCGGGAATTAATGCACGGAGGCTAGTGTAGAATACACGAGTGCGCGTAAATACTCAATATTCCATTATAGGTTGGAAGATGTCTAAGCGCCGAGGGAGATTGAGGCTTATTCGAAACTCCTCAGGGTCAACGACTTCCTCTAAGACTGCTTGTAGTCTGGAGGTAAGAGGATTATGTAGGACGGCCCATACGAGATAGAAAAAACCCTATCTTGTGAACTTATCTGAAAGATGATGACGAGTATTGAATCTCACTTCCTTGAGGCAACCGAACCTAAAGACGGAAGGGTCTTCCGAGCCAATAATTAGCCAGGATGACTGATTGTGGCACTAAGCTTAGCGATGGCCAGCCTTCAGAGGAACTCCCATCACGATTCAGAAATAACCAAGTGCGCTGTGCACTATCGTACATCTCTTCCATAACAGTTAATCTAAGCCCAAATCAGTCATGACTCAGCGTGTGCTTCAATTTTAGCACTGCCACTTATTGTCAGCCGGACGGCGCCGATCGGGGCCATTATCAAGTTACTCTTCTAAGTAAGGCATAAAAAACTTACCAGATTTTATTCTACCATACGGGTTATCTTATCGCCAATTCGTTCGTGGTAACAGGAAAGCATGACCCGATCGATCTATGCGGGCCCTGTAATACTCCGCAACCAGACCCTACTTCCTGTTCGGGTCTAGCCCTGTTTCCTTCCCGTTCGGGACTAGCTCAGGCTTGCGGCCTATCTACAAGCCTCACCTTCCATAGTTTCTTCTCTCTTTACACTTAGTATTGCGTACACAATGCACTTGATTCGTCTCAACCAGGCTACTATTACAGGCCCTGTGGCATCTGTGACGGGAACCCCTTGTTTACCGCTCACCCTGGCTCCTATAAAGAACCAGGATTGGGGGCCTGACATTCATGTTTCCTCACCTCCCTAGACATCAAGTTCAATCAAATGCCATCGATTAAGTTCTCTCAGCCGCACCTCAATAAATCGATACGAGAAGTCGATAAAGCTCCTGGCTAATCTCGAACACGCTTCTTCTTACTCGGTCGTCGCCGTCAATCCCGGACAAGATTCCAACCGACCAAGCATACTGGAGCGATAGCAATAGGGGGCATTTCATCCTCTCCACTGCACCTGAGCTTCTTCCAGATTCCAAGCCCCTCGCAGAAGATTCATTGTCTATCTCGAGAGTACATGCAGTCGACAATCAAGCGGCCGTTTGGCGAGCAGGCGAAGCCTTCATCAAAGCGCATCACATGGACTATCCCCATGTGACCAGAGAGCATACTACCTTACAGTTTCTCAAAGACCAAAAGCCCCAGGGTTTTGAATTTCCATGCGTGTATCGGTATTTTGAGACTAGCTCGCGATATTTCCTCGTCGTCTCGAGAGTTCCCGGCCAGCTGCTTGAGGAAGCTTGGCCCAACATAGACGAGACTCTTCGCCAGTATCAATGGCATATCAATATACGCCATATAGTCAACCCAAGACTGTAATGCACGCTCCTGAGCTATTGTAAGCCTCTTATTTACAGGCCTGCGGCGTGAACGCGACGTTCGGCCCCGTTTGATACGGCCATAAAGCACCCCATAATTGACGTCAAATTGACGCCAAAAATACGCGATATTTGGCTTTTTAACACGACTGGCGGCTTTGCAGAGAGCAATTAGGCGAGATTCCTGGTTTCAGACATATTGGTGGCCGATGGGAGGTAAAAATAGGTGAAATTGCTATTTTTTTTGCGCTGAGCTGTTATTTGCGCTGTGGTGTGGTCCACCCTCTACGCGAAAGCGGAGAGGGTGGACCGCAGGCACTGGCCACAAGGCCACAACTAGTAGTCAAGTAGCCTTCTATATTACTTTTTCTACTCGATACTCAGTAGGTACTAGCTTTCCAGTAGGCCAATACTCGAATAGACCTCCTGGTAGGATTATCGCTCCTCGCCGTTAAGGCCATTTGGAATATGTGGTGGCTTAGTGTTTTTTTTTGAGTACCTTGCCCTTTGCCCTTCCCTTTCCGCCTCTCGCTATCTCTCTTCTTCCGTGAATACTCTCTAGGAGTTTCCAAAAAACTGGGCAGCCTGCACTTTAGATAGATCTCCTCTGTTGAGCTTTAACCCTTTCAAATTGTATTTTAAAGTGTTTATTTCAATTTGCACCCCCTGGGCTAAGAAGACATTGAGTAGAAGATGAAGGCTGAAGGCCCAAAAATGTTGGTTATCAATGCTCTGGAGAGCATATGCACGTGTAATGGTAGTTTGTACAGCTGTTCAAGGGGAGAAGTTTCTGTAATCTGTCAAATACTCCATTTAATGAACGTGGGACTGACAAGGTGCATCAACCATCAAGGCAGACACTCCTCCAGCTCAAATGGGAAATATTATCTTCTAGAAACACACAAGTGATAGACATTCATTTCCATTCCTTATGAACCCCTTTCTAAAATGCTTTGCGCTGCCTAGTTGATTTTGACAGGGCAGGTCTGAGGGCCAAACCCTCCGCTGCTACCGCAAAGTACTCCATCGCCACCGCCTTCTCCTTCACACTGCTACACATTAGAATCGCCATGAATAAAAGAGCTTTCCACATGATACTCACGCTAGTTCCGGAGACACAGGAGCTTGAGATAATTGTTAGCATAGGTTCGTGATCGGCGGGGATGAAGACTAACTAGTTAATACCACCGGCCTTGCAGGAGCTGCCGTTGCAGGTCTTCATGACGGTATTAGTTAGTATTAACTTAGGAGGAATACAGAGAGGACATCAACGAACTCCGCAGATATTCCATCCATTAGGGCAGCCAAGGGCTGCGCTGGCGTTTTGCTCGGCGGGAGCAGCAGCAGCCAGAGTGAGGCCGGTCATCATGGCAAGAGCGAGGCGAGTGAAGTGCATTTTGATTGTCGAGTTTGTTTGCTTAGTTGGAGAGAAGAGCTGATTGCTGATTGTGAAACCTTTGGTTTGACGAGATTGCCTATGAAGACTTCGGAGCAGGAAGAACGCCCTTTATATAGGTGAGTTGGACAGCTGAGATGAGATGAACCTCGTTGACAGTGCTAGCCACCCAATACCCGTTGAACACAAATCAGGTGCGAGAGTGCGAATCTGCCTTGCTATTCAAGATGCCTTTGTGCTGGGCCCATTTGGGGCTGTAGAATGGGCCGTTTCATCCTTTCCTGTCGATCATGGTATGGCCCGTTTCTCGGCCCGCTGAGCTCTCTGTGGTGCCTAAAATAAACTAGGCTCTAAGTGGCAGTGAATGGCTTAGGTCTTACTCTGGGCAGGCCATTGAAGGATTGTTCTTGAATATAAGGCGCAGTTTAAGCCTCCAGTCTTTAGGCACTGACAACCTGAGCAGGCATCAAAATCGCCAGAATTAGATGTTTGTCAATGAAGCCTATACCTGTTTCCGAACAGAAGACGTGCGTACTACTCGTAGTCATGAGCTGTTATCTGAGGTAAAATTGGGGAAAGCTGCACGGTACCTTTTGGTAGGTATCTAATGTATCTAGTGACGTAAATATGACCCATCATGGCAGCTCGCACTTCTTCTACTTTTTGTCAAGTTCATGTAGGGCGAAGGAATCAACACTTGTGAAGCTGAACTCGTGCATAACGGACGGCACTGCCGATCAATGGGGCCAAATGCTTACAGTTCTCCCGGGAACGACCCTTGAGGGACTATGTACTACCTTTCTAATAGCAAAATGTTCCCGTCTCCGTCTATGCAATTGACTTATGACAGTGGGAAGTTGAATATAGGATTTTTTTTCTAAGTCATGTGGTTTCGCCGCTATTAGCAGGACCTAAACCTGTTGCACCTTTCCCCTCATGGTTGTAATGTACCCTTATGCAGTCCAGCTGCAACAATGTGAATAAACAGAAGATTCAAAGTTTTTAGTAGCTCATAGGATAGGTTAAAGGGATCCAGAAAGAAAAACCTGGAACAAACCTGGCGCCTGAAGTCTCAGGTGTCTGACAGAGCTGGGTACATTGCTAAGATAGAGGGCACTCAGGGCGAACATAAACTGGAAACAGTATATTGTTATTAAATAATATAAGGCATGTAATACTCCGCATCCATACTACTAGGCACCCTTCCTTTATGGGACTAGCTCGGTCTCGCGGCTTATCCGCAGGCCTCACCTCCCATAAAGGAAGGGTGCCTAGTAGTATGGATGCGGAGTACTACAAAGACTGTAGTCTCTTCTCTTGTGATGTTCTAAATATCTAGTTAAAAAAGTTTATATAGATTACTTTATCCTCTAAAAAAAGGAAGTCTATATAGTCCGTCTTTAACTAAATGGAATACCTATTCTTGTGAGTTAACTCTACCCACGATACCTGATTCTGAGAATAACTACACATACTTTTGCCAGTAGCGTTTGACAACGGTAATACCTAGCAAGGTCCTGGGCTTAAAGTTTGGTGGTAGCCATCCAAAACGACGGAAATGTTCCAGTCTGGCTCGAGTTCCCTCGCAAAGAATGGGGTCGGTCTAGTTTTGGTGCTTATCTTTCTGAGCTGACTGAATGAGTACAGATGCCATTGAGAAAAGCTAGGATGGATAACTGAGGTGAGAATCCAGAGTCACGGATAACAAGGTTGGCAGAGTTGATTTGAGGAGTGAGTGTTGGTGATGAAGAGAGACTTAGGGTCACTGAGAGAGAGGGGAGAGAGGAGAGCTATCTTATAGGCGCCCGGCGAGACGAGACGAAAAGAGAGGGTGTATAGACGGGGCTTCAAAGGGGAGCCATTTTCGGCGTCGTTTGGTGGCAGGTGGAATCGCAGGGAAGGAGCAAGTGTCCAACGGGCGCCAACTTCGTCGCCGGAGGGTGACTAAGAGTGCTGGGTGGGTGTAAAATAGATGGGTGCTGGTTAAGCGGCGGCTCGTTTTCCAAAATTACGGGTGGAAAGGCGGCCGTTTCTGGCGCCAAAAGCAGCCATTTTCGGCGTCGATTTCACAGGTCCTCATATTCTATGTGTAAATTTTGAGATCAGTATCCTTGAATGGATCAGGTGACTGTGAAAGAAAGGGAACGATAGACTACAAAAGAGGTCATGTGACATAATGCGGTGCCATTTCTAATTCATGGTGGTGGCATTGTCACACCCGTTAGAGGCCCGGAATGACATAAGGGGCACATGATGTGGAGGAAGCCACATTCAACTGTGGCTGGTGGAAGGCTAATTTGGTATAGTAGTATACAAGGCCCCTTTTTCTGCCGGCCTAAATGGCCTTGGCAGTCTGCTGCACCGGTTGCGCTTGTAGAGTTCCGTAATCATGAGGCCTCCATTGAGCTAATTCTTGGTTACCGCAACTAACATCCTACCTTGCCATTTCAACTTTTAACCCTACAAGTTATCTTCACTTCCAAGGTTGTCGACTGGAAAGCAAATTTCTCGAAATTTTAAATATCTTTCTTGTAAACCCCGACTATGGCCAGTTGCATCCATTGCAGATATACCCCTTCCAGCTCTGAAAATAGTGACGAGGAATTAGACCCCAAGATGCTATCCTTACCAGGAGATAAGTCGCCAGAAGAGGCTCGTCTCGAGAAAAAAAGGATGTATCAGGACCCTCCAAGTGTTCCGATGCAATCTCTACAAACAAGAGTCAAGGGTCAACCAGCATGTTGATGGCTTTGTTGAACTACTCTGTTGTGAAGAGGATTTACGCAGGAATTGTCAAGAGGAAATTACTGCACAGGAAAAATACAAGTCCAGCCAGGGCTACTGGAATTCCGATGCCCCATTGCTTAAGCAGAAATTAAGCCAACTCAGCCAATCGAATTGGGCTAAGATACGAGGCTGGTGGTACATGCGCGGTTGGATCCTTGGTAATTCCGGACCCTTGCGACGAGGATTTCAACTATGGAGGTCTAATCCTTCATGGCATATTCATCCAGTGCTTGTTGAAGATTGCAAAGCTAGGGGGGGGGGTGCTGTAGTCGTGATTGCGGGTGCTGTCTTAATCCTGAACGCGCTAATACGTCAGCAGGGGCGTTCGGTGTTGGACATTGCACTCTAAAGTGTGGATGTTGTTCGAGATCTCGTGGGTTTGAATTAGATGAAGAAAAGGAAGAGTATCATGTTGAACATTTCTCGTTCGATAATCAGGTAGATACTATGCTTCATAAGGAGGATCCCTATAAACAGCAAATTCTTCTTGCTTCTATTTGGGGGTTAAGTGTGGACGATTGCTATGATAACTAGAAAAGAGTAAAAGGGTTGCTTCTAAGTGATATTTAAGAGGAGGAAGATGGAATCAAAAAATAAAACTTGTCTTGCTATTTTGTTTGAGCTTCTATTTTAACTTCAAGTTGAAGCTATAGGGTGGCTGTAAGAACCGGATGAATTGAAAGATACAATAGTATTGAACGAAAGTATTACACAGTGGCTTGGTACAACACCGATGTTCAAGGGCCTTCTTATGAAAAAAGTGAACATGATAAAAGTTCCTGGGTTCCTGGTATAGTCCCATGGTAAAGTGCAGCCGATTTCAGCTGCAATATAGGGAGGGGCAGAGTTAGAACTCACTGTCACATGTGTGGCTATATTTATGAGGTTCCTGGCTTACAGTACTAGTAAAGATTTACTTTTAGTTCAATTTAAGGATAACTTTTGTTTATTGCGAGGATACTTGATTTCATTTGAGCCTTGCAAGACAGAATTACGTCAGCTCAAGCGATGGCAGAGTAGGCTATAGATCCATTTCGTTTGGGCTAATTTGCTAAGACTTCATAGCATATTTGAATACCCTGCTGGTGTTTTAGTACTTGCTATGGGAATTATGGGGGTTGGGAAAAGCACTTTTATATCCAAACTTACAGCGGCGGATACTGGCATTGGCCATGATCAGACATCTTGTGAGTACTAGTATGGTGAACCACCCACTGATAGGATCGTAATTAATGACAAGTGGATGATTTAGATACACAGGGTGTTGAATTCCACAGTATAGATATCAAAGACAAGGCTGTGTATATGGATCGGTTGATTTAATAGATAGAATCACAGTTGGTAATGGATATAGCTATAATGCCATACATTGTACAGATAGCCGAAGCCTCGCCATTGAGTCCATTCCCACTCACCAGCAAAATAAAACAATACAAAAACGAAATATCGCTAAAATCGATCAGTTGGACACCATCACACATAAATAGAGAGAAGAGAGAAGAGAACCATCCCCTTTAAAAGCCAGGCTGCATCTGAGCCAACAAGCCCTGGGACCGATAATTTGACTCCTCACTGACAGTCTCCTTCTCAGACAGTCCCTCCTCCTGCGCCCGTAACTCCTTCCCCTTCACACGACCGAAATACTCCTTGAAAGTCCTCTCCAGAACCTTCTCAGTCAAATGCATATGCTGACCAGGAACAGACTTGAACTCCAGTCTACCTGCATCATCAAGACTCTTCAACCCAAGCCAATCCTCCTTATAAAGCGCGCGTTCCTGCAACGGCGTCACAGCCCCACTGGTAATATTAACCTCAGCAAAGAGCGCAGATTCCTTCGGCACGGCAACAGTATCCTCATCGAACATGTACATCGCAAACCGATTCAACGACCCCAACCTCTTCTTATAGTCCACATTCTTCAATTCCCGCTCATTATTTATATCCGCGAGAAAGTTGCTGTGATTCAGATAGTCATCCAAAGATTCAGGATCACGGAAATACTGCGCAGGGACGAGATGACTCTGAACGAAATCCGTCCACTGTCCCGAACGAAGGAGTGCCTCGGCACCGTTACAAATCCAATCACCCGTTTTGCAGTCCTGGAATTCTGAAATCCCGTTATGTTGACTGCCGAATGTGACGAGATTGTGGACGGGTGGGGAATTGCAGCGTTCGATGTAGCCGCGGAGGAACTGGCCTCCTTGGGAGAAACCGAGTGCGTTGATGGCGGGTGCGGATTTGAGGATTGGGTTTGAGGCGAGTTGGGCGCAGACTGTTGAGATTTGTTCGGTTACGTTGCCGAAGAATGTCGCTTGGCGGTCGCCACTGCCTGTGTCGGATAGTCGGATTATGTGGACGTATGTGTCTGGGTTTGTGGTTGTTGCTAGGTCGGCGACGGATTGGAGGCCGTCGCGTTCGAAGTCGTCGCCTAGGCCGTGCCAGATTACGAGGGGGAGTTGGATTGTGCTGTCGGTGTTGGGGAATGCGGCGGTGATGACGCCTGTTGCTAGCGAGGCTATGATTGGGATGAGTCGTAGCATGGTGGCGTAGTTCAAGTTGGTGAAGCGATGGATGGAGGTTGGAGTTGGAGGTTTGGGGAAGCTTCCAAGGTTGAGGCTGGAAATGGACGATGTCGTCAGGTGGAGCCCCGTTGGAAGTTCCAAGTTCGGGGGCCGATCGGCACGTGCCCGAACCGTGGCTTGAACGTGGAGAGCCAAAACTTTGCCGGTGTACTAGTACTTTTCTACTTTCAATTGATACAATAAGACTCCGAGTCTAAGATAGATACTAGTACTACGATTCGAAGTTCTGTTCAAAGATTGGGGCTTATTTGGCCGTGATTGACGTATCTATATTTATCATGACCTGATACACCCGGACATAGTAATTGTTAGTACAAGAGATCGTTGGCAGCCACGGAACAATGATGATTCCTTCTCGTATTCAGAATGTGCTGATTCCAGCATCGGTATTCAGCCGGACAAGCTGGCCAAACACTCTCACCCCTTTGGCCTCGGGGAGACCACTGAAATCAGTATCATGGGATGGATGGTTTGTAAGTGGTGTGTCGATAAGACGAGGTTCCGGCCGCCAGCTTGAGGCATGCTGAGTCTCATTCAGAGGAAACGCGATAAGCGTGGAGACCAGACTCAATGACCTAGAAATATCATGCTGATCAGTATCTGAGTAGCTATCCAGACCCCTTTGCTTTGTGAGCACTTGGCCGTCGATGGTGAAAGGCCTCGGTAGGCTCGGATTGGTCGCCCCGGGAGGGGTGAGAGTCTGCCTGTTACGCTGAGTGGATCCTGCATTTTGGCTGTTCATATTGTGAAATGATCGATCTCGAATAGAGATCCCAGAAGGACTCGTGAATGTTGCATCTTGTAGTATGATTGTTTCTGGGATTGTCGAGGGGGGCCCTGGAGGCCCTTGAGGCATTGGCTGGGTAATCAAGGCTGGAGCGAAGACCGTCGAGGCCTTGCCATGGGCTTTTGACTTTGACCTGTTGGTGAGTATGGGCTGAAGAGTGGGGCGGCGCGGAAATGCTCTGGCCGAGCATAATGGACTCCGACGAGTGATGGCTTGGCGTTATTTCAGATATGATATTGGACTGTAGGTGCAGACCAGTCGGCTGGCCATCGATCTGGATTTGGATCTGGCCTGATGAATAGACATCTCGTTCAGAAGAAAGCCTTTGAGCTTTCCTACGGGAATGGAAGAGGGCTGGGATGGGTCTTCCGTAGGCAGTGGACAGGCGTTGACGGTCCGCGTCGTTGAGTCTACGCCGTTTGCCAAACCGTTCGACTTCCTCGACCGGGGCGAATTTGATACTGAGCGGGCGAGATAAAGATACAGCAGCCCAGTCGGGATTTTGCAGAAACCGGTGCTTGGAGGAGTTGTGAAGAGGAGTGTTGAGGGGTGGACTGGAGCTTGCTGGATATGTTAGTAATATGCCCTGGGCTGAGACCCAAGTATGAATGCAAAGCAAGACAAGGCAAGACAAAGCGAAACAGCGCAATAGTGCTAAAACAATAGCTATGATATCGGTACTGACTCGTCTTGCCTTTCCTCGACCAGTTCGGTGCCTTCGTCCACTGTGAGCTCGTCTCTCAGATTGAGAAAGCCCGGGAAGGAAACCGGCTGACGAGACCCTCGGTCATTGGCACGCTGGCGGGACTTGGCAAAGTTTTGTCTCTGAGTTTGAGAGAGGGTGCCCTTGCGATCAGAATGGCGACGCAATTGGCCGCCAGTCCAGTTCATATTGAAGTGTGTGAAGCGTGTGCATGGAGTGTAGATACCCTTCTTGGGTTAGTGTGAAGAGGGAGTGCCCACTTCTGCCAAGACCTGCTGACATAACCCGCTTCACACACAAAACTGGCGCCTCACTTTTTCCAACTTTCTCCTTCATCCAATCGTCCCAATGATGGACATGACCATGGAACATCGCAGTCTCAGCGCATGCGCTGTCACTGTCTGATCACTGACCTCCAGCAATCACTGATTCTCACTGCCCCACCTGGTAAGCACTCCCCTGTCTCGTTTGAATTCCGTCACACACACACACACACACACACCCCCCCCTCAAGCCAAGCCAAGCTCGAGACCGAGCTCGAACTTGAGCTCAACTTGGATGATGAACAAATTTACCAAAGCATAGTTCAACTGAAGATCTTCGGATTGCTGAACGACAACCTTTATCCATCTTTCTTTTCTGACTCTCCACTTGTTTCTGGAAAACTTTACACATCAACTTGATGAGGGATCATTGGCTAACAGATGATGATCCAGATACCCAATCTCCGAGAGTTTCTGCATTGCTGCCCAACGTGGGTCTCGCCCCGGCCCGCCAGGATGGCGTCGTCATTCTATGGAGGAGAGTACGGTAGTTGCAGTCTTAGTTTTAGTTTTAGTCAATACGAATGCAAATCAAATGCGAATGCAAGTGGTTCTCCTGTACATTGTAGCCTCGACTCCCTGCACCAACATCAAACATCATCACCGCATCCCGCTGCCGCTGCCGCTGCACCTGACTGCAACCTCTCTTCCGCATCACCCCGACGTGGACGACTCTCCACCACACAATCTCCATCAGCGCACGAAGAGAACATGCCGATCGTTTCAAATGAACATCATCCTGCAGCGTCAGCCCTGGCTTCCATCCAATCATCATCATACAAGTGCACCGCCAAGTCCACTAGACGCGGGTCTCGTCTCACCGCTACAAACACCCTCTCCTCTGATCCACTCGGATCCCGCCAACGCAAATTCCAGCATGCAGATGCCATCACCCTCGACCAAATACTGGCTCCTCGCTGGTGCCAACAGGGCAGGTCACCGCTGCGCTATGCGACTCTGGCACACGCTTTGATAGGCCCCACTCTCTCCTGAACTCTCCTAAACTCTTCTGAACCCGCCCGCGTGGGCTCCGGCCGCTTCTAAAAAGGCTGCTGATCCCCCCCGTTCCTCTCTTCTTCTTTTTTTCTCTTTCCCAACTCAGGATACCCCTTTCTCTCTTGCGATCATCTACAACAAGACAACTTTTAGTACATATACCCCTATTCGCCACTCAGTCCCTGGACCCTCGGACAACCATCTTGCCTTTTAACCCAAACCTTGCCCTGGTTTATCTTGCCCAAAGGACTACTCTCTGCCACTTCTCCCGGAACTGGACTTTGCTTTGCTGTTTTCCAGGCTTTTTTTAGTCTGCATTCGATACGAAACACATCAGGTAGTCCCCGTCACCTTTTCATTCTACTTTTCCTATGCGCACTTGTCTTTATTCCTTTGCTCTTCCGCTTGCTCTTTTCCCGGATCTATACAACTGGACCTGTACCCGTCGCCGCTTGTCAATATATACTTCCCTGGACCTCGACAATCTCAATTTATTCCCCTGGACTCCCTGGAACCTATAGTTAGATCCGTTGATCTAGCTGGATGCTACTGCTGCTGCCACTCTTGGCAACTCCAAAGAATAATGTCTTCTTTGCCATGGATGCTCGTCGGCGACCCGCTGACCGAGCTGGACTCTCATGAGTGCTGTTTAATGATTGCACACTCAACCGATACTCCTCCCACTGGACATTCTCCCTGGATTGATTTTCTATCTTGACACTGGCCTAACCTGACCTGACTTTGACCCATGGATCTCCCTCTCTTCAACCCTGAAGTCGAGTGGATGGACTGCTTGCTTCTTGCTACTCCCTGGATTTCTTGCTACTGCTTCTACTGGACCCAACTGCCCTGGATATTTTACCACCCCAGCCTAAGGAAATATAATTATCTACCCATGGAATTCTTGATCACCAGCCGTGAACCTCAGCCAAACCAATGGAACTCTCCCTGGACCTCGTGAGACCTTTCGGTCTCTCTTGAGATACGAAAGAGAAGCGTCCGCTTCTGGATAACTCACTCTGGCCACTGACTTATAATGGATCCGACTTGTCACAATGGCTTCTGGCCGAACTAAGAAATAATGCTTTCTTAAAACACTGGACAATCCCCTGGATCATCAAGCTTCGACAACACTGTAGCCTTGACAACAAGTGAACTGGACTCAACCGTTACCCTACTACTGGCAACAGGCTCTCACCGAACATCGAACTTGAAATGGACCCAACACGCGCTGCGTTTACCCCGAATTCCCCAAGGACCCTTGCCGACCTCCCTAACCTGGATTATTTTTCCTCCCACGAGCTTTTGGTGCGTCCAAATCTTAACGCCTGAGCACTGCTTGCTTTTGCTAATAACTGGCAGGTTTTCGAACTCTGGACCCCGGAGCTAGCTTCTTTACTTTTGCTTTCTGCTTTTTTATTTATCGTTTTTGAAAGGTGTAAGATTACTGACTTGATGATGCTTTCTGTAGTGCTTTCCAACACACATTCACACATATCACAATGTCTCCCAGGACAAGCAACGAGCCCGAGAGGCTCTCTCTTTCTCAGTCCAGACACGCCTCCATGGTTACAGGAATGTCAAATATGGCCCCAAGAACACTCCAGGATGATGAACTGTCGAGCCATGACACTTCGTCTTTGTGCTCAATTCCCCATGGAAACCACCAGGACATTAAAGACTGGAACATGAACACTACAGACTCCCTCGACCAGGCCATGTCTTCCAAGGAATCCCCTCACATGCAAATGCTTGCTTTCCAAATGCCTTCTCAACTCATGACCCCCACGGTCGGACCACATGATGTGATGTACACAGGCGTGGACTTCCCAGCAGTTACAGACCTGCATGATCATAATGAGTTGCCGCGGGATATTTATTCCTTTGTGGATCTTTCTTCCATGGATAATGATGTCTATGTACAGTCGAGCACACCGGATGATGCTCTCTCTGTTGCACACAGTTCCCACACTGAGGATGGCCATTTCATTTCCAGCCACGAGCCGTGGAATACTATGATGCCTGATGGCTACCCCGGAACTACCCTTGATCAACTGTCATCCAGCATTTTCCAGACTGTGCCAGTCTCTCCACCCCTGACGGAAGCTAGTAATGATCTTTCTGTTACTTCCTCTTGCTCCCATCCTGGATTTCCTTCATATCTCGCGCCTGATGATACTCTCCTTGGAGACTACACCACATCGCCAATGGCCGCCCACGGAATCAACCCTGCCGAGCCTCTGTTCCCTACCCCTCCTCTCAGCGAAAAGGACCCTAACAGGTAGGTTCTAGCTAAGCCGTCATGAACAGGCAACCGAAAAAAAGGCAAGGATTTAATCTAACCCCCTTCCCCTAACAGGACTATGCGGCCTTCCAAGCCTGCCCGCCGAGGTGCACTCCCAAATGGCTCCCAATCCCAGGTCAAGCAGGAATCTGAGCTCTTCCCACCCCTCCGTGAGCCAACCCGACAGAGATCCAAGGAAGGTTCCGAGTCTCGCAGCCCGCGGGAGCACCCCTACTATTCCATGTCCACCCAGAGTGACGGAAAGTACTACTGCCCTTTTGCCTCCGGAGATAAGCCATGCAACCACCCCGCCACTACGCAAAAATGCGCTTACCAGCAAGTTCCCTATCTCGCTTTTGAGCACCTTATAGTCAAGAAATTATCGCTAACAGACCGCCTATAGCAAATATCTGGATTCTCACCTGAAGCCCTACCGCTGCAAGGTCCCTGCCTGCGTGGATACCCAATTGCGCTTTTCTTCCAACGCGTGCTTGTTCCGCCATGAGCGCGAAGCCCACGGATTGCATGGCCACGGAGACAACCCTCACCTCTGCCTTTGGAACGGATGCGAACGATCCATCGCTGGAAATGGATTCCCCCGTAGATGGAACCTGTACGACCACATGCGCCGCGTGCACGACTACCAGTCCTCTGAGCGCCTTAGCTCCCCAGAGACCTCCCCTACCGTCGTCCCGGCCAAGAAGAAGGAAGCTGCCAGCCGCAAGAGACGTGGAGTCACCGGCCCTACCCCGGCACCTACCATGAAGCGTACCCGCTCCGTCCACTCCCACGGACCGACCAAGGCCAACCAGGCCACTGTCCAGTACGGACAGCGCCTGCAGAATGCCGAACGGAACTTCTACCAGTGCCACGCACGTCTCCTTGAACATGTCGGAAAAATGACTCCGCTAGACACGTCGTCGCACGACCAGGTCAATGCCACTCTCAATGAGCTTTTCACCCTTGGACTCACCTACCGCCAACTCGACGCGAGCCAGGTTTCTCAGATGCCGCACGGACTGCCCCTGCCCGCGTGAAGAGACACCGAGGATCCTGTGAATCTTGATCGAACATTCGAAAAAGACGCCACAGCGAAGGATTTTCTCAGGACCCCGCGAGGACCATTTTAAAACTTACCCACCGTGGACTCAAATGGACGCGCTGACTGCCGTGATATTTCAACACCTGGATGGCCCACTTTCATCGTCATCACCAAGGGCTTGATTTGCAATTGCAATTGCACTTGCGCCTTTCGCCCAGGAGATACACCCACTCCCTTTCCCTCTTCCCTCCGGTTCAACCCCGCATAAACCAGGTCGAGGAAAGCCACCAGGCATCACGGTTCTTCCAATTCCAATTCCACTTCCCCCGGATCGATGAAGGCATCGCAACGCGTGCACTGAAGCCGGGCACTTCACAGCACCGCACGCAGGATTTCAAGGAATCTCTGAAATTGCCCCTAAAATTCTGGCTAAACAACTGGAAATTGAGACTCAGAGTGAGAGTTGAAGTACTTACTGCAGTGCAGTGCAGTACAGTACCTCACCTCTGGGGTGGACGGGATTGAAGATCAGGTGCATCAGTCACCGATCTCATCCAACTATGAAATATGGAAATATTCGACAGTAGAATTGGGGGACTGGGAGGTGTTTTGATTTATAGAGTGCATTGTTTTTTTGTTTTTGTTCTGATTGTTTTGTTTTGCACTGCGTTCCATCACCCCTTTAAAATATCAAAAATATTATGAAAATGAAAGAAAAATTGTCTATATTTATCTTGTACGCTTGAAACTCTAGGATCATAGTCAAGAGAAATAATTGGAAGTGGACAGCGCCCTGGCTGAATCTAGTGTACGAGTAGTAGCCGCTGTCAGCCCCTTCGCTCCCCCTGATAGTATGTACCGTGATACCAGCCGGTAGTTCCCAGAGACAAACAAGGATTGAGACTATGGCAAACTGTTTTGTTTCATTTAATTCGTATTTATTTTGTCTTTGTCTCTTCGGTGGTGTATATAAAGCCACTGTCCAGTTATACAGATTTTGGTGCACTTACTGAGCCATCTTCCATCTCCTATCTCTGACTCTTCCTACAAATTTGATCAACGGATAGCTCCTTCGAAGATGCGGGGTGTCTTACGGGGACCCAACTATGTTCTTGAAACAAGAATCAAGTTCCTCAATAGCTCCAAGATAGCCAATCGACCTAGGTGGTCCCCCCGCAACCATTCCAGATTCAGACCTACTGTGCTACGGAAATCTAAAGTGATTCCATATTCTCCCAATCGCTTCAATGATCTGCCCGAGGAATTAGTGCAACTTACTACAATTCTTTTGGAACCTAACGATTTGCGCTCAATCAGCTCGGTCTGTAGAAGGTTATATCGGAGCAGCCGGCACGAGGTTCGCTGTATCTTCTTCACACAACTAAGAACAGACCTATCCCTCAAGTGTCTCAGAGGTTTGAGCGCCATATTATTGAACGATCCAGTTCTGAGTTCCTATGTTAAAACGCTGGAAGTGATATTTAACGGCAAGCTTGGAAAGGGCTTATCATGGAAGAGAAATTTCTGCAGTCCTCTACATTCAGGGAAACCCATTAAACTGTGGGCCAGGCTTTTGTCTCAACTAGTGAATTGTGCGTCGTTCATTCTCGCTCCGGCGACTCATGAACTCTATCGCGGTGGCAATTGCCAAAAATATCCTACGCCCATCGA